CCGGTCCGCGCGCTCCCGGGAGCTCCCGGGACGAGGCGCCCACTGAGCCCGCGGGGCCCCTGAGGCCGAGCAGGGAGCGGAGGTCGTCTCTGTAACTGCGGGGTCCTCACCTCCCCGTGACTTAGGGCCGTACAGGAGAGATCAAGTCAAGTCCGGGCAGGCATCAGACTTCATACCCTGCGTATTATCGATCACAGCATATTCCGAGTTGGAAGGGACCCACGGGGATTATCGAGTCCAATTCCTAGCCCATCACAGGCCATCCCCAAGAGTCATACCCTGTGCCTGACAGCATTGTCCAAGCACTTCTTGAGTTCGGTGCTGTGACCATTCCCTGGGGAACCTGTTCCAGTGTCCAGCCTCCCTCTAGGGAAAAAATTTTTCCTGACATCCAACCTAAACTTCCTCAAAACAACTTCAGGCCATTCGCTTGGGGTCCTGTCACTGTCACCACAGAGAAGACCCCAGTGCCTGCCCCTCCTCTTTCCCTCAAGCTGTAACAGAAATGGGGTCTCCCCTCAGTCTCCTACAGGCTGAACAGACCAAGTGGCCTCAGTGACTCCTCACACGGCTTCTTCCACCATCTTCACAGCCCTCCAGGAAAGGCTCAGGAATCTGGAGGAGGTGAAGCCATGCTCTGTCTGGAGCCCAGCAGCAGCCCCGTGCCGTCTCCTTGCTCCGGCACCTCCAGATGGAAGCAGGTGTCTGTGACTAAAGCAGGTGACATCAATGTGCTGTACAATGAAATACTGATGAAGCAGCTTCTGTTTGCTGCCTGGGTTCCTCATCTCTCCATGAGTTCTGGGTAGAGGGACTTGAACATTCATGAAAATGGTGTCACAGAGCCCCCCCTCTCAAGTCCCCTACTCTCATTTGCTCAGGTTGATGGAGCCAGACCAAATTTGTAGATGGAGAAGTACAGTTTTGTAACCACCTGAATAGAACAACACAGTGTCTGCTCCCAGCTTGAAGCATTGTGGGCTGTAGCCCCCTGCTTTAGGATGTGATTGCCCAGATCTACACCTGCATTGCCTTTGCTCATGGAAGGAGTGCACCTCCTCACTGATAACCTGCCAGGTGCCACCTACCAGAGCATGCATCTCAGAACCCTGGAATGCATGGAATTAGATGAAACTGAACAGTAAAATCTGCTTAAGAGCACTACTATTGTACTCCAGGTGCTAAAAGAGGCTGTCCAAAGGGCCAGACCTAAGCTAATCAGAAGGAAAAGTCCCCTGACTGGTTTCAGAGCGTGGACAGCCACATTCTCCATATCATCCAAATTGCTCTACACATCTTCTCCTGCAGATTTGTCACACCTACAGATATTCCAGCAATATTCACAAGTGCTGTCAGTGTACATGCCGCCACTGAGTGCACTCCACAGGCTTGTGAAGCTGCATCTTCCAAATCCTAAGAAACTATTGTAACCTGGAATGTAGCAGCAAAACAGACCATCCTCATGATGATTATTACAACCTTCTTTCCGTTGTCTTTTATTACAGATATCCTTTAATTTTTTTTAAGTTAAAATTACTAGCTTTGACATTTCTAAAAGATTGTGTCACTTTGTTTCTGCCAGCACTACTCAGAAGAATAAATTCCCAGAAAATCTCCATTTTCCTAGAATAGGATTTCTCAGCTAATCACAAATTTACTGACATATTTTCCCACTCCTTGTTGTCATGTCTTATCACTGACATGGATGAAAACTCAGTCCCTGAGCTTTGCTAAATGCTTTTCTCTCCATTCAGGGACACTTGTAAAATACATACAGCAGCAAATTACATTTAACTGCATTATTTTAGCCACCTATACTCTTCCAGCATAGTTTTGTGTTCACCTGCTATGCCTCAGTTCCTGCCCCTTTCCCAGAGCTGCTCCAGATAATACAGTGCTCTCTTTGTAGTGAGGAGTGTAGGTCAAGGTGGAAAGGGAGGAACATTCCCCCTTTCCCATTTTTCATTCTTTTGCCCCACCTGCAAACAAAACCACACATGGACAAACACTGGTGAAGGAAAATTGAGTAGAAGGCCCTTGGGAAGAAGGTAGATATTTGGGAAGAGCGATGAGGATGTTTCAGCACCTTTGACACCATCTCTTATAATCAGACAGGTAGGGTCTGCTTTGATGGAGAAGGGAGAAGAGCACAACCTCTGTCCAAATCTCATTGATCCTTCACCATCCAGCAAAATAAAACAACACCATGCTAGGGGCTGGGTGTTGAGATATTTGTGTGCTTGGTATCAGAAAAGGTGAACATTCACCTCTGCTTCAACAGGCAAAATAATTGGGGAAAAAAATAAAAAACTTGCCAAAAGTTAAAAGACAAAAGGCCCTACATTTCTTTTTGAATCTTCTGAAGTCCTGAGACTGCAGCAGACAACTATACAAGAAAAATCCCAGAAAAACAAAACAAAACAAAAAAAAAACCCCACCCAATAACAGCAACCAAACCAAACCATGACCCAAGAACGCCCCAAGCAAAGCAGGAAAGATGACTTTCCAAGTTAACATGACAGTGTTCATGAACACACAAAATCAAAACAGTCCATAGAGCGCCCAAATAAGAAAACCTTAAATTGAAAGCAACCAGTGGCATAAAAAAATTCATGACAGAGCTTACTGTTGTGCTGAACACCTACATTTAGTCAAATACACAATAAAGCAAGAAATCCCCCCTCAGCCAGCACCAAACTGTAGAGAGAACTAATTATTAACATGCTTATGAAGTTAGGAAAGAACAGTTTAATTACAGATTTTTGTCAAATCTCTCAGGCAACACATCTTTCAATTTTGTTGCTTAGTTGCGCAATCCTAAGTTTAATTAATATTCTTAGATGCCTTGTTAAACAAGAAATTGAAGCACCACAAGTAAGAACAACTCTAAATGATATTATTAACTGTGCAGCAATTATTCTAATAGACATTGCTGCACATGTACCAACAGTGTAAATCTTCCTAAAATTTGGGAAACAAAAGGAATTAAATAGAGTTGTTTGTGGTTGCTCCATCAGACATATGGCAGTCATTTGGGTTCAAGAAGGTAAGAGAGGGGTGAGAACTTGGTTTATGTTCAGATGTTAATGGGGGGGTTGTCATATTTTTTTAGTTTGCAATGCCAAAGTATGATACTACCCATATGAGATGAGATACTGCCAGTTTTTCTAGTTCTTCACAAGGCTGATGTTGAGTTGGACTATCCCATCAAGAGTAAATACAATTAGACTCACTTCAAAGCCATCACTTCTGTCACTGTCACTTTTCTACTAGCCTCAGATTAACAGTGCTGCAGACAAGAGGTGGTGTGCAAACACACACACACACACACAATCAACAGTCAAAGAACTATGCAAAATCACACTACAGCTGTTAAAAAAACCCAAAACCCAAAAATCCCCAAAAGCCCTCTGCCCATCAGAAAGGTCACTGTTATGAGCTTTTTCATAACTGACAACTCCTTGATTTCCAGACTAAAAAAACCCATCCCCCACAAAAAGAACAACACATGCAAACAATACCATATATTAATTTCAGTAGATTTCTAAATGCAATGGAAATGTTTTAGAGTTTACCACATGTAGATGTACAAATTTCATCCATGTGCTCTTTAAATTTTGAGTGCTGTGGAGATGAGGTTGAGATTGTTCAAATTACAGTGTAGCCATCAGGGTAACATTAACCTTTCATTGAAAATAAACAGCCCTGGCTTCATCTGCTAAGCTTAAACAAACTGTAATGAACATTTGTAAACCTGCTGTGTGTCTGCCTTCAAAAAGGAGACTGCAAAATAGTGACATGTGAAGACCAAAAGGCTTTTAAATTGTGCCCAGCCACAAACCAGTGAATATTTGGTAACAGCAACATGGCATGCAGATAGCATATCAGCCTCTGCTTGTGTCCAGTTTAAAACAAGCCCTTTGATCAACAGAATTAACCCATGAAAAAAAAAAAAAAAAAAGACCCCATATGGAGTCAACTGCTGATACTCATTACAGAAATCCTTGAAGAATGGAGATTCTGTAACAAGCAGCACTCTGACAGAAAAAAAACCAGAATAAGTAAAATGCTTTTAGATTTTATTTCTTTACTGCTATGACTGAAAAGGCTTAACCAAAAGGCAAAAATATATTTTTTTTTTCAATATGCAAGACACATTTTTGTATAAAAAATAATGCACAAACACTTTACTACACACAGATCCTCCCCTTTTCAAAACTCTGGGTTCTTTTCCCTCTCAGCAACCAGGTTCTGCCCCAGCCCTTTTTCCTTTCATGAAGTTCGTTCCTCACCTTACAGTACTGCAACCAGAGGGAGACAGGGCAAGGAAAGACTTTTGGTAAACTTACTTCATTCACCTATTGGCACAGCAGCTAAGCCACCTGACTTATTGAATCACAGAATTAAGTAGGTTGGGAAAGACTGTTGAGATTATCAAGACTTCCGCCTCCTGCTGTTGTTCTTAGAGCAAAAAAGGACTTTAAGAAGTTGGATACAGACCTTCAGTGAAAGGTAGGTATAAATCTGAAGAAGTTGTTTTGTTTTTTTAAGCAAGACATAATACTTTAATTTTTCTGTTTTAAGTACATGGGCAGTTTTAATCCTTAAGTAAGAGCTCTACTTGTATTGCACATATAGACAGCCTCTACACCCAAATTTCATACATTGATGCCTCTGTCATGGTATCTTTATCTGATTTTCACAATTTCCTTGCCTTTCATATGCTGCTATGTTTCTCCTCAGTTGTGATCTGGGCCAATTTTCCCCACAGTGTTTAGATACTTAAATACTCATGAAAGACTTGGAAAAACACTTAGACGATTAACATTGACAAATATGTACTTTCCTGTAAATATAGCATCAGAATAGATAGGACATGCAGGGGCTGCTACCACAGCTCTCATTGCAAAAATGGTGGGCTCTCATGTGTGCTGTGGGCTGTGGTTGTTTTCTGCCACATGTATTTCCTGAGCCCTTTAGACATGAATATGCCTTTTGTATTAGCCTAATAGTATAGTCACTGCTTTGGAGTTACTCCTTTGTATACATCGTCTGAATTCCTTTCTGCAGTAGTGATTATTCTGAATCGCAGCAGAGATTTGCTACATTAGAAAGACCTCTGCTCACTCACAAAAAACAAGGCAGCTTTTATAAAAGTAATTGGTTTTCAACCCTCCTTTAATTAAAGAGAATAGCTGGGGGAAGAATCATGTCAGAAAGACATTGGAAATCAAAGTAAGACTTCACCAAAGAACTAAGTGTCCTAGAGAAAATGTAAAAGCATTTATTCAAATCATTGTAATGCAGGGGAGATAAAAACTACTAAGAGAAAAGTCTGATATTGTGTGCACAGAATGAATATTTTTAAATAATTTACATTTTTTAAAATTTTGCTTGAGTTCTTTTATAAGCAGAATGACATCCCAGTTACAGAACAATAACTGCTCAATTAATTTCAAGTCTCCATCCTTATACACAATGCATCTACTAAAGGAAAAAAATCTCAAGATCTTAGAACTATCCATTGGAAATTTATCCCTTAACCTAAAAAGTTGTTGGGAGCCAACATTTTCTGTTCCTTGATCCCAGACTTCAAAGATGGCCCTTCTGCTGGTACACCAAATGCTCTACAAAAAATACAGACCACAGATACCAAAAAACTGTGGTGAACAATCATATTCGTAGTGAGATACAGCATAGCTCTGAAAGGGTAGTACTGAGGTATACTTGCATCACAATCCTAAATATTATCCTATTCATTTTACACAGAGTAAACCAACCTACCAACCCTCTCCAAAACTAAATCTTTTCTTCAACTCTTGATATTGTTTTTAAGCAAACCACTTTTTCAGAGTTTGTTGTGCTTCCCTTGTACTGGCAACAGGATCTGTGTCCCAGCTTCTAAGCCAAGCAGTAGAGATGGGGGGCAGCTACATCCCATGGTGTATGAGGGGTTCAGAGCCTAAATCCTGGTCCTGGGTGACTCCTTTACTTTTTATCCTTCTTTTTAAAAAGTTCAAGGGCTAAGTCTATTTTGTGCTTCCTCATATTGGGCTGTCAGTGAGTAGAGCTAAAGGTAAAAATGTCTTAAGAATCATCACTTCTTTCATTTATGGAGGAAAAAATATAGGTAAAACACAAGGAGTGTTTTTCAAATTTTAGTCCTAAACTTATATTCACATAATTGAGTAGAAATTAGATTTTAAAAAAGTTCTTGGAACTTTCACTTACTTAAAGAGGACAGCAGTGCCTTGAATATTAAATTCTGCTCCTCAAAAGATCCTAAATGGTTTTGTGTGCCTGGGAAATTTGAACCCTGTTACACATAATGCCTTTTCAAATGCTGCTTTATGCCTAAGTGGAGATTAGGAAGCTTAACTCTAAATAGCATTTGTTTCCCAACATTTGGGTTTCAATTATGATTATTTTTTTAAAAATAATTAAATATGCACACCATGATTTATAATTATTACTAGGAAGATCACCTCAGCAGAGGGTTGAATCACTGTTTTGATGCAATTAACTCCAGACTGAGGTACACTAGCAGGCCAGTCTGAGGCATCTCTAAACTCCCAGGCCTGCATCCTTCACCTCTAACACATAATGAAAAAAGAAAAAAACCCTAAATATTTCAGCTAGTTTGCATAGTTTATAATTATGCAAAAACCAGCACAAGTGCACAAGTAGTGATTCCTTTCTCTAAAATATATTTCCTGAAAAGCATATAGAAATATGAAAACTTACATATTTTAAAGTCTGGTAGGAATTCAGGTAAAATAAGGCATATTTATGTTTTTCTCCTCTTCTGGCCTTCTGATTAAAACAATCAGGCTGTCTGGGTACCTTGTGCAAATTCCCCACAAACACATTAAACCCAGGACCTCAAAGAGCATTTATTAAAATCTTATTAGGATTAGCCTTATTAAGGCCAAGGATTGGCCTTTCTGAAAATGTGATACACATTTTCTTTTTTATTTCACTGCAGATACAACTTACCAGGAAAAGGCTTGGCAATGATGAGAGATCATGGGAGAATTTTCAAGAGCAAATCATGATGATTACTACAAGTGCTGGCTTTATGATTGCAGGAAAACTTAGAGTCTCCTTTTTACCAACTTGGTGCTTTATGTTCTAAACTGTACAGGATTTTTTTCTATTCCATTTTAGTGTATTAAATATTCTCTGTGTGTGCACAGCAGATAACACAATTTTACACTTCAGCTAACCTGCTTCTTAGAAAAAAAGCTGAAGCAAACATAGATCATCCCTTCAAATAAACCATGTAAATTTTCTTTTCTAGACCACCTAGAAAGAGAACCATTAGCATCAGAATAGTCCAGCTCTGTTTACCTAACAATGAGATGGCAAAAACCTTTCAACTGGTCATGCATCCAATACCTGTTCTCCTCCCACTTTTACTACTGAAAATTAACATCAGGGCTGCGGAACCATAAACATATTCTGGAAAGCTTAAAATATCAAAGACATTGTTCACAACCCTCTCAACACCTTTTCTTTGTATCACTCTGCACCTTGTCAGGCTGAGAGCTGAACTCAAAATGTTTGTTCAGTTAAGGCAAAAAGCCAGAAACCTCATTGCTTGGGATTTGGTTCATGTACACCCAATCAACATAATGATTTTGTCGAACACTAATTGCTAGACAAGCACCCTTTTTTGTGGTCATGGGTCATACTAGTATTCCAAAGTAATAAAACAAACAATAAATAAACATTTAAGAAACAGTTTGGTGCAATACACAGAGATCAAAAGCAGATGTAGGAAATACGGAGGATAATTTCCAAATTTAAGTTCACTCGTGGAAAGTGCTGAGCTTCTTAAGAACTACAGGTATGAAATATTTCAATAGATGAAATGACACTACTGCTGTCCAAATTGCACACTGATATCCTTGCGCAAATAAACATCCATTCACTTTTCATGACACAAGGCTCTATAGCAAAGGAGGGAATGGAACTTCTGTCCATGGCTGCTAAGTTTCCAAAGTACTTTTGCATGAGTACTGCATGTATATATATATATGTATAGCTAAACTTATATTGCACAGTGATAAAAATCTTGCTTGGCTCATAAAGCACTGCAAAAACTACAGAGGTGCCCATCACTGCCTAATTAGCTACAAGAAGTGATGAATTCTAAATTACTTTATCAAAACAGCCACACTGTAATTTGTCTGTACTCCCTAAGTGTGGCACTATGTCACAACTGTCTGCATGAACGGATTATTATTTTTTTTACATAAATACAAATGTCAGTAAAGAAAAAAGACTAATGATTACATTTTCACCTTTTTCAATGTCACATTACAAAGTTTTAGTGGAACAGAGCAGCTGTGTTTACACCTGTACTTAATGAGGTAATAGTGATTATATCACAGTGTGTAGAAGTGTGGCCATTGGTACTTACCAGATAAAGAAATGTTCAGATCACACCATGGAATGATACCAAATCACCTCTCAAGTCAATCTTTGTGCACAAGGCATCAAGTTTTCTTTTGTTTTTTAAGAGTTAAGATGTTGTATATTTGTAAAAGACATTTTGCACATATATATTTGCAAATTATAATGATGCATACTGCAAGGAAAACTGTACCTGCAACTGGTAACATATAGTATGAGTGAAACAAGGAAAAACTTACCTATTTGAAAAAAGAACACTTGACAAGCAACACTGTCAAGCTACTTTTGCATCAGTAACTACTGGAGTTTCCACCAGTTTGCCTCCAACTAGAGTATCCCCACAAGCTAGTACCTGGAAGTGACACAGGGCTGATATCAGCTTCACTTTCTATCACCTACAACTTTAGAAGTCACATTTTCAATTTTATATTCACATCCTTAGACCATCTAAGAGGTCAGATAGTTCTGCACTGTGAAGCTCCTGATGAAAATGAGATGTACCATCAAAATCACACCTCTGATTATGGACATACCATGGACAAAATATAAGTATGGAAAATGTAATACTGGAATATTACTGGGGAGAAAACTGCTTAGAAATCTAATTAAAGACAAATCGTAGAATGCTACTTAGAAAATGTTACATTCTCTGTACAGTGTGGAAACTCCTGTTTTCCTTGACAAAACAAATTAAGAGTGGCTTCTCAATCATAATAACAAATAATGTTGTTAATCCTGCCAAATTTTAAATGAAGAAAGAGTAAGTGTAATCTATAAAGGACTGTCAGCAAAAGAAAATTAGCAAACCTAGAGCAAACCCACCTTCTACCACTAGCTCAGCAAGAGTGGCCAGCCTAGGAGACTGATTTTCTCCTGGCTCCCAGAGGAGTGGGAATTCACATTATTTGTCTTCTTAGTACAGAGTTTTAAATCAGACTTTCATGTTAAAAATTTCTCTAGCTGTACATTTGTTTTTTGAGAGGTACTAGGAGATAATCTACAATTCTGACAAAATGTGGTTGGTATCCAAGCACCTCCCCAGACACACTGGCATCTGTTTGCTGCTTCACAGGACAAGAGTTTACACATAAAAACTGAACAACTTGATTTATTTAAAATTCACCTCAAAATGCATTGTGTTTAGTTTCTTTTTTAAAATGAACATTCAAAGCATCAAAATATTACTAATTTTAAAAGAACCTTTGTTAAGAATAAGATAATTTACATACTGTAGATTGTGGCTGTGAGGGGACAGAAACAACCGATGGTAGATTAGGCACAGTACGAAGGCCAACATGCCAGAAAACAATGCAGCTTTATGCTCAACTTTTAAATGATCTGGACAAAATAAAACAATTTGGCAGGAAAATGAAACCAATCACTTACTTGAGGGCATTTGTATAAAACAAAAGTGTTAGTAAGTTTTCTATCTAGACCTAACTCATTCACACATTTAAAGAATTCTATCTTCTTCCAAATAACAAAAAAATGTTTCTAAACCAAGGCAGATTATTATTTGGAACTGGCATAGTAAAATAAAGGATCACAGTATGCAGAGCTTAAAATCCTGTACCAGGAAAGAGCAACAAGTGGTTTACAAGGGGATCATTTAGGTATATTATCTAATTTTTAAAAACAGAGATATAAAATATCAGTTGCATAGGGATTTAAATATAAGGCCAAGCAGGAGATTAAAGTAAAATAGAGCTCATAAGAAGGGCACTATGGTGTTAAAACATAGTATTTCCATTTGAATTAATGTCTAATTCAAAATCACAGTATTTTGCTAGTACTACAAAAAGTGAATGTCAAATTGTCCCATTAATCTTGAACTGAAAACTGACATTAGAACTTCTAAACAGTACAAAACTAAAGCTCATTGTCTAAACCTGATCAGTGTGTTAGCACAACAGTGCTGGGTACGTACCTGATTTATATACTCTACCTTCTGTAAATAATATAAAGGTTATTTCTTGTTAATAAGTGTGAGATCACAATATTACTGCATGCCATCAGTGGTTTGCAGGCTTACTTGACATTTAATTATTCAGTCTTTGAAAGTGTAAGATCCTACCCTGCAGAATCTTCACCCATTGAACACAGAACACTGTCATCAATAAAATACAATAGAAGTTCCACCACTAACAACTAACATATAAGCCAGGATTTTAGGTCTAAACCCAGACCAGTTCATTATTATTAACTCACAGCAATTTTTGTTAGGAAGGTAACCTGTAGACTTCCAAATAATCTTGTGTGTATTAAATATAAACAAGTTTGTAACTAACGGTTGTCTCTTGGCATTTCAAGTAGATTATTCAATTGTGAAAGTATTTCTGCAAAATCAGTTTTGAGTTGTTAAAATGAAGTTCAAATATTAATTTCCATAGCTATATGTAGCTTAATTAACCTAAAATTGTAAGGAATAGTAGTGTAAGGAAAAAAGAATTCTCCAGATGAATTAGGCATTAAGGTACACTAACTGGGAATACCTGAACCAACATTGTAACTGAAAAAGTGCATAAACACAGTAATACTACAAATGTGTTAACTACAGAACAAAAGGCTTTCTGAAAGCTAAGTGATATTATTTTACATGTTATTTACAGTGTTTTTTCCAGATACCACAGAGCAAATTCATGATCTTAAAGTTTCTTTGATATATTCTAAGTGTCCTTTGGCTTCCATCCTATTCAGTGAGGAACTGATTCCCACCCCGGCGAATCAGATACTGTACAGCCAAACATCACTGCCACTGTGGTTCTGTGATTCTTCAAAATTCACTTTGTTCCTTGAAGACAAGGCAGTGTTTTCACTTCATGCTTTTTGTGGGTGTATCAGACTCCGTAGACTGTCTGCCATCAGTCCACGCCTCCCGCGTGCTCTTCAGGGCCAGCGTTTTCTGCTGGTCCACCACAACGTAATCAACCCTCTCGTCTGCCACGCTGCTTCCTGAGCCACTGCTCTTTTTCTAGGAACAATGAGAAACAAGTTCAAGTAAATTGACAATACAAAAGCAAGGAGGTGTCCCAAAGAGATACAGAACATGCACCTGTTTCTCTGAAAGGTCCAACACTGTCTCTCAACTGATCATTTGAGAAATTACTATTAAGATGATCTTGCTGAAGGCAATTTTGAATTCCTGATGGCAGAACTGCAAGAGCTGAACATCTGCTTACCTTACGAGGCGGGGTAGACTTTCCCGAATCTAGGTCCAGATCTAAATATTCCACTTGTTTATCTCCTTTAGGTTTTACCATAGGGCTGCTTCCTCCATCAAGGCTGTTGCTTCCAAACAAATTCTGAAATTATAATATAAACAACCTTAGCTACAATTGTACAAACTAGTGGTCCACATTATCAAATATGGATACTCTAAACGGTCAAAATGTAAAATGTTAAGGAAATGACTGAGACTCTTGCAATCACTTAAATCATGCAAATTTCTTTGACCCTGTATGGCAAGGGGATTCTATGTCAAAACTGGGACAGAGTCAAAAGCCAATGGGAAGAAAAACCCAAAACCCACCCCCCTTAAATTTAAGGTTGCCACCAAACCCATCCATGCCTTCCACGTAATGTCCCCTTCATATCGTGAAATAAGAATAGAGAATGTTTTGTTCTTTTTAAATGTAGTTGTATCTCAAATTTAGCATTACTTAAGCAAAACATATTTATTTTCTTAAAGTGTTGTTAAATACCTACAATAATTCCTGCTTTACAGTAGTGGCAAAGCTAAAAATGAAACTTTTACATTTCATTCAAAAGTCATCATGATTAAGCTGAAAACCAAAGAATATTGTTCCATTGATAAGATCAAAAAATTAAAATGTTTGGAAAATATGTGTAGGGCTGCCTGAACTGAAATTGTAATTTATATATCTAAATTTCAATTAGCCCAGACTTTTACAACCTCACCTCCTCTGTCCTCTCCCAGCCTGATCCCTCCCTCTTAACAGGTGTTATAGGAACAGTACAATAGAAGGACTCTTCTCTAAAAGATAAAGAAAAAACAGGAAGACAGAGGGCAGCAGTCAGCAAAAAAATGAAGAGGAAAGCAGAAGGAAAGACAGAAGGGTAAGGCTTAGAGCAACTTGAAAGAAAAAGCAGAATATTGCTGATTTTATTAAATAAAACAGAAGTATAACATGTCTAAACAAGATGCTTCAAAGCTAATGACAGAAAAAGATGAAGAAATACAGACTCCTTGCTAAGATAGAGTTGGAACAAGTAAAAATCCTCAAAAAGTCAGATTTTCAAACAAAGGCTGTGAGATATCTGGAAATTTTCTGGTTCTTTAGGAAATAAAATATTTTATGGGCTAAAGCCAAATGGGCAGGGCTTTTTAAATTGAAGTTATCCATTATATCTCTATTGTCCAACTCATTTAATATTAAGTGGTAACAAGGACAAACAACTGATATGAAATTCATTTTTGTTGCTCAAATTCTCTGAACAAATTAATGCGTATTAAACATACAAAAATCAGATTCTGTATCAATGTTTCCAGCATAAATTAAAAAAAGCTGTTACTCTTTAAACAAATAAATACTCTGTTATTTCAAACAAACTAGGCAGGCAGAACATATGTATTAGGAAACAGAAACTTTAAAAACGCGCAAATGAAACAGAAAGGAAATCTGTAGAATCACCTTAAAATAGGACCAGTGCAAGCCAACAGAAGATATTAATGAGCTGGGGCACTAATTGTAGCATCTTGGTATGAAGTTAAGCCCCTGGAAAACCTTAAGAATCAACAGAAACGTCCAGGCTGAACTGTGATTCCGTGCAGGGAGAACCGTGGGCATGGATGGAGCTAATCCCTGGTGTAAAATGGGACTGTTTCTTGCACTTATGAAATGGGACATCAGCTATTACTTACCGATGGCCCTTGCAGGAGAGGGGCTAAGATTTAACACCAGCAGCTCCCCTGTGCTTGGTGCCTTTCTCCTGGGAAGCACAACAGGTATGGCACAAGGCACAGCTTGGGGCACTCTGCAGGCTCTGGAGCCTCCACCCCACCAGCTCCTGTGGGGAATGGCATAAGGGGGACCTGGGATGCAGCATCCAGAGGCAGCAGTGGTGAGCTGGGGCACGGACACTGGAGGAGACTGGGAGGGGATCCAGAGCAGCAGGGGACAGGGAAGCAAACAGTGTTGAGAGGAGAGTCCAGGGGCAGTGAGATGGGCCAGCACATGCCATATAAGAAGGCAGACACACAAACAGAACAAAAGCAAGGTGCTAGACAGGCCCTCCCCAAGGAAGGTCTTACATAGATGATATAAAGATGAAAAATGCTGCTATATTCCCTACTAAGTACACAAATGTGTGTGCACTGAACTGACTGGATGGGGCTTTGAATGACCCCGTCTAGTGGAGCGTCCCTGCCCATGGCGTTGAAGGTTGGAACAAGATGATCTTTAAGGTCCCTTCCAATACAAACCATTCCATGATTCTATACTGGACAAAAAGCTGAGCTCAAGATACATGTTTCCTTCAGTGTTTTATGCATATTCTAAACTACATTTTAGTTTAGACTTAGGTCTACTGCTATTCTCTTCCTTAAAACTACTGCTATTGGGTCTTCTTTCTCTCCTTCCCCTCATCAAAGAAAAACCACAGTGTGCATCATTAACTTTTCCTAAGTAGCTACACTCCATGCTGAGTATCTGAAGCTTCGTTATCTGAGCTCTCTCTTCATTAACTCTCCCAAAGAGGAAAATATACAGACACTCAATACACAAAGACTCCTTCTATCCTCTTCTTTGAAAGAAGCCTAATAAAATACACATGGTTCAGAATATACATAGAATGTATGCTACAAGTATCAATCCCTTTTTCCCCTTTTCCTTCTACATTTCCTGGAAGATGTCCTTTTAGTATAGTTTTTTTTTAAGCATGTCTCAAACGTCCTAGAACAGTTTATTTCCCTTGATGTCATAATACTGAACTGGTGCACAGCTGAAGGACAAGCAATTACAAAAAGGGGACAGATTCTAGGAAAGAGGTAGAAAAAAAGTCATGTCTTGAACTGTTTTATATAATAGATATGCATATCAACCATTTTCTTTATGCTCTTAACTTCTTCAGTGAAATCCTACCAAAATTACAGCTTTGCTATGGGGATTTTTTATCATTCTGTTGATCTAGACGTATAAAGGGAGTGATGTTGAGTGAAGGATCTGTGTTTGCATGATTTAAAAGTAAGGACTGCACAGGAAGAGAGTAGTTAAGATGTAGATTTTACATACTGGGTCTTCAGTGGACTGATTTGGGTTCATGGATACATAATTCTCTTCACTGTCGTGCGAGTCACTGCTGGAAGTTGTGCTATGAACTGAATCCGGTCTGGGAGACACGGGAAACCTGGAGGAGCTAATTACCAGGAATTATTTTACAAACAATACATCTTAAATATCTTAAACCTCCTGGTAAACAATAAAAATAAGCATATTAGAGCTGACATTTTCATTCAAGTTTACTAGAGTGTCACATTTTTTGGTTATACACAGTCCCTTATATTTAATATCACAAAACAGAATTTCACATGGACACACTTTATTTCAATGCACAGATACACACACAGACTCACTCTTCCAAAGGAAACTTCAAGCTACAAACAATCTAAATATATGATACAGGTGTACACGCATTTATTAACACTCTAGCCAGCAAAAATTATTAATCTGAATGAGGAAAAGCCAAGAAACTTACTCTCTTGCAAAGCTTCTGGTGATAGGAGATCTAACTGGAGCTTGTAATTCTTCCCATTCAGGCAGAGGTTTTATTTCTAGTGGAGCTGGTTTTGCTATGTAAGAAACAGACAATTTTAAAGCACAGAACATTTCTAAACTTAAATTTAATATCTTTTCATGACTTAAATACAGAAAAATACTATCTTCCAAATAGTAAATAGTAGTAAGGAAAGGGAGACACTTCCATTTTCAGAAAGACATGATGTATTAACTTATGTTTTTAATCTTTTCAGGCAATGAGAAGAAACATCGATTAAAAAAATTAAAATATAAAATTTAAAAAGCCCACTGCAATTTCCAAATTTTGCAGCATATACTTGTAGGTACTAATTCTGTTTTGAAAAGAGATTCTGAAAGTGGCAGCATCATGTTCTGTCCTCATTCTGCTGTGATGACTTGTTGAGCTGGCAAGCTCAATAAGCACTGATGGGCTGTTTCAGCAGAGCCAACTCTGAGGACTTTTCTTGGCTTAGGGTCAGTTGTTAATATACAAACTCTGCCCTTGCTGTGTACATGTGCCCTTACTGGTGAGGTTTCACAGCTCCACAAGTGGGCAGAACCTGCAGTTAAGACTAAATCTGCAAAAATGAGAAATGAGTCAACAGCAGGAAAAGCCTGGCTCACTTTGGTGCTCATCCACAGTCAAGCCAAGCAATGTGCCACTCATGACAGCTAACACTGTTCTCAAAAAAAGTGACATTTTTAAATTCCGTTTTCAGAACAGAACCATGAGTAGGCTATTAGCAAGAAAGCCATTATCCCTCCCTCCAGCTTATGTGTCTCACTCCTCCTAAGCATTAGAAAAAAAATAAAGTATAAAAAGACTTGTGGAAAAAAAAGTATCACAGAGTCAAACTGCTGTCAACTTTATCCGCCCTAAAACTGTTTTTAGAAAACAAAATGCAATGTCATCATAAACACAGCCCTTTCTCTCCTTGTGCCCCTCCCACCATGAGTTTTCTGCCTCTTGGCAGGTTCATTAAGATCAAGTGTCAGGTGTGTAGTGACAGAACTGAATGTGACATAGGCAAATGATACTAAAGCGCAACTGAAACAAAAATTGATCAGCCTGGCTCAAGTCCTCTGTAAAGATCTGAGTCTACCTGGCAGGAATAAACAGTGGGCAAGCAGCAACTGCTGCAGCAGAGACAGGGCCAGGACTTCATCCAAAGCCCACCAAGAACAGCAGAAGTATTTAATCCAGCTGCAATGGATTTTAAAACCCAAAGGTAATCAGTGACATTTCTCTGAGATTTTTAATGTTGTTCATTATTTTCTCTACTTCTTGTGACTATGTAAGGCACCAACACAGCGTCTTTAATAAAGCCCATGAAATTAACTGCAATACTCTTTAAGGTGCATAAATAGATGTCTGTACTAGTGTATGATCAGAGGATCAATATTTTGCTTCATTTCAGGAGACCTAAGTGAACTGTGATTTCAGGTTCTTGCCCAACAAAAGTTTCAAAAAACTTACAAGTTACTATGTAAAATTTACAAGTTATTATATACTTCCTTCTAAATCAACAGACAAAGGTCAATCCAAAATATGAATAGCTACAACTTAAGAGATCAGAACATTCATGTTAATATCAAAGAAATGTTTCCATGCTCTATTCAAGCCAGAAAGTCTTTAATTCCTTATACAGGAAACCGGTCGCTTGGCACAGAAAATGCATCCATGACCTTAGACTACAGCAGAAGAGAATATGCTAAAGTTATTCTAAAATAACAGTTTTCTTCATTTTTGCTTCATTTATTTTTATAAAGCTCCATATACATACAGTGCTAAAGTACATACCCTTTCTTCTTGTAGTAAAGTCACCTATGGTTTGTGAATCAGTTCGCTCTAAACCATGTGGTTTAGGTCTTAAAATTTTAGGACTTTGACCTAATTGGCAAAAAGAAGACTCTCTTAATAATATTCTATTTGTAAGTGGAAAACTGGAATTTTGTAAATAAATATCACAACCCCCTGCAGAAAGGTTAATGCCACAAGCATAAGCAAGCTGCTGAAGGAGATTTTACAGTCTAGCTGGGACTCACACTAAGGGCTTAAGCACCAAACCAGAAACAAAGAAAACACTGCATGCAAGAAATAAATATATCAGAGGCAAGCGTAAAAGGGGTACAAAAAGGCTAAAAAGTGCATCAACAAATATTGTAACTGATCATTACTACCAACTGGTTTCATTAAAAAAAATAAAAATACATATTTGATGCATTTTAGCATGAAAGGAGAACAGTTACATTTCAGATACAAACTGAAGTATCCACAGAGATACAAATCCTTCTTAGTCACAAAATTACTCTGGAAATAATGACTCTTGGGAGTCTCCAATCCTGTGCTGCTCTTGGGAGGTTTTCTAACACTGTATCTCCCACTTGAGAGGCCCCAAGAATCTGTTTTAATAGTGTATTTGTTAAACTTGCTCCCCAGAGGTCTCCATCTGTCTGTAGCAAACTCTACCAATCTGACCCTGCAGACACAGTGAAATTTTCTTCCCAAATTTCCAGCCTGCATACTACCCACCCCCAGCAAGGCAAAACCCGACCTCCACCAGAAATTACCCTGGCATGAAAATACCAATCAACTCCCTACAGACAGCAATGCAAATCCCCTCCCAGCAAGGATGTTCATTAGCCAACTTGACCAAACTCTGCAAGTATTTCAGGTCACACCGTCTATTTTAAATAAACATGATCAATAATATGTAATAGTCCTAAGATTTCAGTAAAGTCTATCTGACAGTGTTAATATTAAAAAAGGCAAGTGCCTTCAAGTGGTACACCAAGAAGCCATATGAATACACCAAATGAAAAGTTTAAGTCTGATTATTTTAGAAAGCTGCCCTACAGCACAAAATGGAAAAGGACTGGTACAGACTCACATGTGGGCTGGTACTCCCAGCAATGATTGAGTATGCTTTGTAAAAAATAAACTTGGCAACAAACACCAGAAGTTTGCAAATCTCTACCGCAAGGGTTTTGCATATGAAATGCTCTGTTACTGTTATCACTGAAATATTGGGAATAATCAAGTAACAACAAGACAGGTAAACACAGAGGTTTTATCTTAACTTCTACACAGTGCTTCTGAGAGACCACGAAAGTAAGATAAAATTTATTTATTCATTAGTAGTGTTCTATAGCAACTTCCTTAAAAAGAAAAGGACATGAAATTATTTTTACACAGACAGTTCTTTTCCAATTTCAAAATCAGATGCTCCCTTAAATGGCTCAATGTGCTGATGAAATGGGTGAACAGTTGGGCAACACTGACCAAAGACACAGATTGTGATGTGGAACACAAAGTATTTCTGACTAGAGCCAAGTCAAAAGCACGAGCCAACATGTTGGTGTACTCAATTCTGAGCTGATCCAATATTCTGACTTAAGAATATTGCCTATAACTCTCTGATAAAAGCCTGCCTATTTAAAAAGACCACAATCTTAAAACTGATTGAACAAATGTAGAAGTTAAAATCCAAACATTTTTTATTAATTACAATTCGATGCTGAATATCATTACCTGATCATAATAACTTTGTATTTCACAGTTTGATAATCTGATTTAAAAGAAATCTGGCCCAATACAACTCAAGTTGTATGCACTGACATAGGAGCACAAATCGTAAGCACAGTGAGAAAACTAGCAGAGGTAACAGAGTTAATGAAATTATTTAAGCAGTGTGCCCTTAATAACCTCTGCTCTTATGACCAAACAGACTAAAGTGCCTGAAACCTGTAATACAGAGATAAGCTCAAGGAACTCAGGGCTGTGACTCATTATTTTTCCTTCTGTTAATGATGATACGTGGTCCAGCGCAGCCAACCTTCCTGAACTGGGATTAGCCCCATTTGGAAAACGTGGATATTATGTAACTACCTGCTTCACACTTAATTTAGCATTTACCAACCACTCTGAGATTTTCAGAAGAGGTATATATATAAGTACAGGTCCCTTTAATACTTCTACATCAGACAAGAACTTAATACAAAACTTACTGAGCTTTCATCTTTTGTTGCTGGAAGATTGCTCAACCTCAATAAATTTGGTGGCAAAACAGCTTACTGCTACCAACCAGCCAGGATAATGCAATTCCTCAAGTTTTATGTGTCACAGAGAATTAAAATATTTGTGCAGAGTGTTTTCTTTTTCCTCCCTACAAAATGAAAAATCCAAAGGCCTAATCTCTGTTGAGGACCTTATACTGTTCAACATAAGCACAGGACACCAGGCAAAGGAAAACAGGAAGAGGGGGATCAAAATCACAAATCTGTTACGTATTTGTGTAACTGCAGAATTCTTTCACCCTGTTTTTGCGCATTTAAGAAGATCACATGACATGAGCCAGGGCACTGAAAGCCCTTAATAATATCCCTTACTGCCTTCAAAAGACCATTTTCCCCAGGAGCACATCCCTATACCTCTGAAAAGCAACAAACTGATTAAAATACAAGAGGGGAAACGTGCTTCCCACCTGTACAGCAGGCTGTTCTATCCACAAATACTCCCTAAAGTGTCACAGGGCTGTTCTTCAAATCAGTGTTGTGACAGTAGGGCTCTATGGAGAGCCTGGCACCATACAGCATTCTAACACCAGCAATACTGAGGAACACATTTGCTGTGGTTCCTACAGGCCTACATTTACCTCTTCTGTGGAAAGATTATACTTTTAACTTACACATCTATTCTTGGAAATATAAATCTGGGTAAAGGGGAAAAAAAAGTTTCATTTGTGCAATTTTATTTTTTTTCTAACTGAAAAGGATATAAATGTTGCAACACCACTGGATGCAAACCTACACAGGAAAAACAAAAAAAAACCCAAATAAATTATGTCAAGTGAAACCAACCAAACAAGAATTGAAAATTAGATGTTTTCACTCTTTAGTCAAGTCACCACCTGTGAAATGCAAAATGCTACAGCCAGGAGACAGTAGCTCAACCTCTGCACATTTTATCAGACTGTAGAAGGGCACTCTGAGCTGAAAAATCACTAATGAAATCCATTTTTCTAACAAATGGCTGCTTGTTGTACAAACTGCCAGGCAGAGCAGGCGATTATGGCTGCGGCACTGGAAAGCACTCAGATGCATGAATTCTGCTCCTGGCATTTGGGGCACATCAATGCTGCCTTTGTCTGCAAAGTCACCAGGAGAAGAGTCCGTTTCACATGTTTGAGTTTGCTTCAAATGGTTTAAACTGAAAAACTTTTTGTTTTTGCATCGGCTCTTGTTGTTTTCCATAGAACACTTGGAATATAATATTGGGGGCGGAAGGAGGGGGGAGTTGTCCCACTGCAGTAAATTCCTGCATCAGTGTAGGTGTATCCTCGTGTTTTTGCTTTTGAGGACATAATGCTGAAGAGATTCATTTGTTCTCAGACTATTGCCTTGAAACACCAGAACTAAGCATGATTTATGTTAAAAATACTTCTTTCCTGACTGGATGCTTGCTCTATGGCTTGCTAGCAAGAGATTTCATGCCAGGAAATTGCAAACATCCTCACAAGAGAGGCCAACTCTTCTATTTAAATACCAGCTATTTAGGGCTTAAAATTTTAAGGTAAATATACTAATGTGACATAAAACTTGAGAAATGCACAATCTGATAATGCTGTTTCTTGGCCAATGGGACTAATCCTCATGAGACAAGGAGATCAGATGTAGGAATTCTAGAGCAGTCCTGTGCTTGGGATGGGAGCAGGAGAGCAAAACGAAAAACCAGCCACATAAGTGCTCTGCATTCACACAAAAGTACTTTCAGAGAGAAATAACTAACCACAGTTTCTTGTTTCCATCAACATCCTGCCCCCTTTTCTTTGTAATTAGAAAAAACTGAAATTTGCACTGAGATCCAAGAATTCCCATGCTCAGAATCACTGTAGATTTATCCTTGAAAAACAAGGCTGAAACTCACTGTCTTGCTCCCACAGGGTTTATTATTTGGTTTTCAATTCTGCTGAGTAAACTCCTACTTTTCTTCTCGTCCTCACCCAAGTGAACCCTGATTCTCTAGTACATGGCCTTCAATACAGAGAGCTACAAATATCCTGAATTAGATTTTTCATCTACGTTTTTTTAAGACTATTTCCTGCCAAGGTACTTCTAATTAGAAACATGTATTTAGTTCTACAACATTCAAATGAATTTCCATGCTAGGATCCACCAACAAAGAGGAATATCAGTAATGTGCTTTGTGCTGGTTGATGATAAGATATGGATGCTGATAACTATGGTCTCTTTAGGACAATAAAAACAAATTGAAATCAACTTATTCTTCAATGTTACTAAATATTAGAAGTCACATAAAGAGTCACTCTCCAGTTTTCTCTTTATCCCCTCAAAATAACTTTTTACAGCAAACTGGTACTTTCAATGCTACGGAAATTAAGAATGAATTGGAAAAAATATCTGATTATGAAGAAGTCCAACTCGATCTGACAGCTAAGGTTCACTGGTATTCCTAAAATATTTGGCAAATGCCATAAAACTACTCAGAGAATACCAAAGCTATTAGTCATCAAAATACTATTTGACTGCTCTAATTTGTGAGTAACTCTACATGTCTGTATTTTAAAAGCCCCCAAAGCATGATGAACTAAGAGCATTCAGTAACAAAGACTGTTTTAAAACCAAAGTACAATGTTCTGAAATGTGTACTGATTAGCAGTTTAATGCTGTACTAAGATTCGTGAAGGCCAAAAGACTTCAAAAACAAAAACAAAACACAGAAAAAAATAACAAAATTTAAATTATTATTTATTATTTAAACTAAAGCTTAACATTAAGCCTATTAAAAACTAATGGAATAGGAAGACAACATGTTCATCTATGTAAACTATGTTTTCTTGAAAAACTGATAAGGACACAGCAAAGAAGGGAAGAATTTTATGAAGAGAAATAAAAACAGGTCATTATTACCCCTGTTCTCTTGTTCCTGCTCTACCTAGTATCTTTGGAGTTTAAAACTACCAAAAAAAATAAAATTTAAAAAAAAAAAAATCCCTAGTCCTAATCTCTAAATTTAATTATCCCTAGCATTAGTATCAGAGCAAGTATTGCAGTTTGTCTTTAGAAAAATGGCATGTTTAATTTTGTTACAACCATTGTGTCCAGCAAAGCACAGCTTCCTCTGCAGCTGTGATCCAGCCATCCAAATGAAATCTTCATTGAAATTACTTGTTGTTTCAAAGTTTTAGAAGACAAATCACAGCTGCAAGTTAAGGACCGGCACATCACAGCAAGGAGTTATGTAAATTTCATTTAAAGCCATTAAGTAAAAACTAGACTTTTACAAGTAATTTAGTGCAGGCATGGAGGAAGACTAATTTTCAGCTAAATGGGAGCTTGTGGAAGATCAAAGAAGGAAAAAAATCAATAAATTTGTACTCAACTTGCTTTATGAACTTTGAGGAAGCACCAAAACATCCCTCAAAAACGTAATTTTTTTTTAAATTCCTAAATGGAATGAACAAAGGGTATAGCTTCCAAGACAGAATAGAAGATAAAATGCATGGATTTCTCAAAAGCAAAATTAACAGTACTTCTGTTCAGAAAAGTCATCACAAAAATTACAGTTTCTTTTTCAACAGATCTTTAGTTAAGCTCTTGCTGCAGACTGAAATCACCATTCTCACATTTTCAATTCTACTTGTCCTAAAGCTTCAGAACATAACTGAAGCTTTATTAAAGAATATGCAATATGATGATAGTGTAAAACACTGAAGTGTTGCCAGCTCCTAATTATTATTATTTTTAAAGAATTGTCAGTTCCCATTAATCTCAAATGCTGTCAGTGTTTCTCTGAAGTTTTATTTAAGGATGGTGTGGTGCTCCTGCTGTATCAGGACATACAATATGTTCACAGTATCCAACTTAAATATTTACATGTTTGAGTGTCTAACAAGGAAACTGTTCATCAGGCTATTTATAACTACCTTCATGATTAATGAGTGTTCTTAATTTCCTTAACAACTACCTACTTTGCCTGGGATTTCTAGAGCACCATGATTCACTGCAACAATGGGAGATTATTCCAGTCATCCAGAAGCATGAGAGCAGGTCCTACGGGGACAGTGTGGCAGGTGCTTCCTGCCATTTTTTTATAAATAAAAATGGAATTCTCTGTGAAGTTAATCCATTTGGGAGATGCTCATGAGGAGTGGTGGCAAAGATACAGCCACATTTTTAGAAGCAATCCACATATTTGTGGTTTAACCACGAATAAAAGACTATGTCTTTTAACATCTTAAATGAGAAAAAAACAATGAGAAAAGCAACCAGATAAAATTTTTTAACATTTTTAAAAACAATCACAATTTCCAACTCCATGAGAATTTTCTTCCTCTTCCTTGGTTTATTTTGTTTGTTTGTTTTCTTGTTTTCTAGCTGCAACTGGTTATTTGCATGGCATGAAAAGAAATGTATGCACCACTGTCTCTAAATCAAAGTTTAGCACATGCTGGGCTAAAAATTACCAGGGCCAAGCAGCAGGCTCTTTTAAAGGCAATCATGTGGACTTAAATTGTAGGAAGCCTCTCAGATTAAATGCTGATAATATTTTTGTTGAAATATAATCCATTTAAAACAAAACAAACAAACAAAACAAAACAAACAAAAAAAAACCAAACAAAAAAAAGTTCAAAAGCACCACACTAACTATTGGTTATTTTTGCGATCAGCAAAATAATCTGTCTCACACAATCAAAAACTAGGACTGAAAATATTGTGCAAAATAATCTTGAATGCAATTAAACCCTAACAGTATTTGGGAAAATAGAGTTTGGGAAAATAGAGCTATTCAAGACAAATGAAGCAAAGTCCAGTTCTATATTGTAAGCTGGGAATCCTAAACTCTGTATTGCCTCTGTCAGCAATCTACTGAGGGATCCTGAGGACATTGTTCTATCTCAGTTCCCCGTGACCCTCAACTAGGACCTGGGTAAATGGAACCCTCTCAGAAAGTGCTTTTAAGTATTATTGATCAAAAACTGTACCAAAATGACATTTATATTCATTCATTCATCACATTCATATACTATATTCAAATGAATGAAACTTAACTTTTGATTTTCATTTTATCATGGTCATGAATTGTTAGTTAAGCCATATGCCCACTGTTCATATATTTATTTTCAGAACCTTAAAAAGCCCACTTTGGTAGAAATGTGCTATAAAAGAGAAGAAAGAAGTTACCAATGAAATGTAAGTTGGTCATCAAGCTGAGATTTTGAGGAAGTAAACTCCACCATCACCAATTCCATTGCTGACTTTATACTTTGATTCAGATATTGAAAAAGTGTATTTCATCAGTCAAGATGACAAGCACATATTTCTTAAGAGATTTCAACCTTACAAATGGGATGATGTTACACACCTATGACTTGTTCTGTACAGCTCCTAAACAATTAAAAAAAAAAAAAAAACACCAACAAAAAAGTCTGGTTTTGCAGATGTTTGGTCTTAAAGTCTTGTTTTAAGATGAGATACCCCTCTGCCCTATTCATGGAAACAAATCTGGGCCAGGAGGGGGTCACTGTCATGCTCAGAGGCTCACAGAGAACCTCATCTCGCAAATGCTGCACCACTCAAATGCTTCCTCCTGACCCATAAAAAACAATTCACACCTTTCAAATTTTATTTTTGTCCACAAACTTTTCCCTTGAAAAAAAAAACCTGGTTGTTCTTTGCTGCCTAGTCTGTCTAGGAAAACTTCCTTCACCTCACAGCATTTGGGCACCTTTAATTCTACTGTTCCTTCTTGGACAAACTGTATTTTGAAGAAGGCATGTCACCATCACAACAAACGTCACTTTTGCTCTGTGGCAAAACCAGTCACTGTCTTTGAACAATTCAGAGAGTAAGACCCATCTGCATGGTTGGATGCAATATTTTTTCTATTTGAAGCCTTTTACCAGCAACACACTTGCAATTTAGCATCAGGACTACATGCAATTGTGCTAAGCTGAAGCAGCCAAAAAGCAGAAATACAAAAATCAATATAGCCAATGGTCCTATGTATCTAAAGAAACAGCACCCTAAAACCCCCAAGTTAATAAAGAGATTATTTTTGTCATTCAATTACAGGTGAATGCAGAAAAGCACCTGCCAAACACTCTCCATTTTGTCCCAAGCAATACATCACTTACCTTTTGGTATGCTTCACTAAAGAAAAAGTAAGTGTTTTGATTCAAATTATTGGGGCAGAAAGCCTACACCATGTTATGAAATTACTTTCAAGACTTCCAGAAAGTACTGGAAGCTCCCCATATTTACAGAAGCAGCTATAAACTAGAGAAATGAAACTACACAAATCTGTATTATAATCTCAAGGCTATAGATTTCTCCATTATTATTTTTCAACCCACTTTCTGAAACAAAGTTCTCCTAGAGAGCAGTGGAAGAAGAAACAGGCTGGGGATATCAAAGAACCTAAGGCTGTAAGTAGCAACCCCTTCAACCAAAGGAAAAGAGAAGACATGGTAAACATTTGAAAACAAAAAGCAGTATATTCTGCCTTTATGTGCTAGTTTCACTGCATTACAAATGTTTGTCAAAGTCATTTTTAGCACAGGATGTAACAAACCTCCCTGGCCTACAAAAACATGACTGAGCTAAAGCTAATACTCATGTGAAAGGTGGTGGTATTTCTAATAGCTTCCAAAAAGCTTGGAGACAGTGCAAACATTGTTTTTGCAACAATTTGTAACCACCAGAAAAAAAAAAAAAAAAGACAGAACAGCTTTTTCTGACAATGCCCTCATAACACCTTACCCCAAACACTCCTGATCTCTGCAGTATTTTAGAAACCACTTTTTGGAGAAGCACCAGTCATCTTGAATCAATGGCATATTAAATCCCCTCAATATTTAAAGAAGAAATAGCCCAAAGATAAATGTTTTATGTTCCATTTCCTCCCCTTCTGTGTCTTCTAAAGATTCAGTGAACACACAGGCCTACTTGACACTTATAATGCAGTAGTTTGTAGCAGAAGAGCATTGCAATACATTTACATAAACAGAAACAACCTGATAATAGAAGTTGCTACAAGAACTTGAAAGCTCAAAAAACAACACAGAAGATTATAAAGCACACCATTGTTTTATTTAGGTAAAGGTCCACTTAAACAAGGTGGAACCTTGCAAATTCAAAGGAACCTACAATTTTATTTTCCCAAAGGTATACCTGGAAGGAGTTATTTGTGCAGAGATCTCAACTACTGAAATGGGAATGTTATCACTATTCCGATGTGTCATCAGATCTGTTATTCACAACGTAAAACTTACAGTGATGCATTCAATAAAATTAGAGTGAGGCAGTCTGTGTGTGCCTGCTACTAAGATAAAACCCTCAGTGATAAATTAGAATCATTACCATGTTTGGCAGCTCAAGATATTCACGAAACATTTTTTTTCAGCCCCTAAGCAATATACCACATTTACTTTTAGGGAGAGTTTTACTTTAAAATCACTTTAGTTTTTAAATTACATTAAACAATCCCATTATATTACAGTAATAATATCTTCCAGAAGTCTACAGGCAAAAATTTAATCCAGTAACTCTACATTCATTAAGAGGTATGTTAACACATCTTAAAGTCCTTCCTCTGGTGTTAGCTACATCCTTTTAGATGTAAAACATTTGAGGACAGAAGCAAAGCAGGAGCCTTACATGCCACTTTCTGACTGTGGAACACTAATTCAGTTCCAAAAAGAGAGATGCAAGAGCAACAATGCTGCCCCATTCAGCAAACATATGTGCGGCGGCTTTTCCTGCTAACAGCAACAGTGAGATGCTTTTCAACACATACATTTATTACTTTCGAAGGTCAAACATTTTATCAGTAAAATATACAAACTGGCCAGTCTGGGAAAATATTTTAAATCAGTTTAGTTTATTCTGAGAATGTTTTCCAGTATCAGCTTTCATCAATCTCTTCCTGTCCAGTATTTCTTAAGAACTAAGAAAAACTGTTGTCTGGTAACACATTAAAAATTAGAAACCAGCAGAGGGCCAAAAGTCTTAAAAAAGGCCATGCCTCAATTTTTTAAAATGGAGAGGCAGAATGAGATGTGGTACTTTCCATTACACACAGCTCATCTGTCATAGTGAGACTCTCTACTTTCATTAATTACAGGCTGTTTTAACTTAGCGGTAAAGATACTAATTTAAAGGTTTAGTTAGTGAATATTTTGGATCATCTGAATGTTTACCATTGCACTTTCCCACAATGAAGTCAAGCATTCTCAGTGTAATTTCTTCAAGTACATAAGATTAAAAATAGGACTTACTGAAATGCAAAATAGGGCAGACATCTGACCTAATGTTCTTTAGTTCCCTCTTCTACAAGAAAGTTAGTTATCTTGTCTCAAAAACACAGAAGGGAAACAAGTTCATTAAGCATTTGCCTGTATTTCTAGTAAGATGATTGATAAAACATTTTAGATAAACTTAGAAAATCCAAGCTATTTATTAGGGATTCTCTATACAAGTATCTCTTATATTGCAACTTGATCATCTTGGTTCCTTAAGAACTCTGGTCACCCAAATAATCTTTATTTTAAGGAAAAATAAACATGTTACATGTCAGATTTAAGAGAATAATTTTTTAGGATAGATTCAAAGTGGCCCTTTAAAATGAGTATGTATTCTGATCCCGTAGCAAACACTGTTACGGCTATAAATTTGTGTTCTACCCAATGCCTTGTGTTCTCTGCATCACAAGTGTCTTTTCTATACAGGGACCCACTTCTGAATCTTAGGAATTCAGTGACATTTTTTCATTAGTGACTACAGCAACAAAATTTAGCATCGTTATTGTGATGTTTTAATAATGTTAAAAATAATCGTAGGGTTCCTCTGTGATTTGTTTATCTTATAGGACAAAAATTATTTCTAAAGTAATTTCTGAAAATATGACCATTTTCCACTAAGCAAAAGCTGAGAGAGCTATGTTATTTTCTTAGATGATAAAAATTAGGTTTTCTTGGAGGTTTTCCTCACCTTTTCTGTCTGGTTTGAGGTTCCGATCCACTGGTGGTGGCTCACATTCTGCAGCAGGTACTGACCGTCTGGGAGGGGTCTTTGGGCTGGACCTGAAACCCATGTGAGCAGGAGGAGGGACTTGCTTTCCAAATAATGGAAAATCAAACGTGCCTGGTATCATTGGTACATAGTTTGTTTCCTGGATGGATTCAGTGAAGCTGCTGGAATGCTGTCGTGGAGGAGAGTTGGGATTCATTGGGACATAATTTTCATCTAGTTCTTCACTTGAAACACTTCCCACTGTCAACATGCTTCTGTTTTTCTAGAATTAACATATATTTCCTTTAACAAAATAAGTTATGCAATCAGCTGTGAATCATATAAGTCTTTTAAACTAGTCTACTCAGATTAATGTATTCTGTTGAAACTGAGAAATCACAAACACTGCACAGCTTGCTTTCTTACAGAGGAACAAAGAGCATTCAAGCACTGTCACTTTCGCCTCTCATCAGATCAAGTCATACTTACAAAGTGGTTATGGAAGCCCTCCAATGAATTAGATCTGTCATTCGGAAACGTTCGTGGAATATCATAACAGTCTTGAGAACTAATTTCTAAAGAAACAAGAAGAGAAAGTGGCTATTTATCACCCCTGTTCCTGTCACTTGGCACAGGGATCCAGAGTCTGTTGTTATTTACTGTCTGCTTCTGAGAGTACACAAACACACCTCCTGAAGCTGTAGCCCCTAGATTTATTTGAGAGAACTGTGTTCACAAACAACCTTAGCACTCGTCAGTCACAATTTGAAGCTCTCACAGTGGCATTTTTCCACGGCAAAAAAGGAAAAATGAATTTTTGCTTCTAAAGAAGCAGCAGGAGTCTCTCTTTCAATTGAGCAGGTTAAGAACTTAGTGTAAGAGTAGAATCTGTGCCCTCATGAAAAACCTATTCTAAAATAAACAACCAGTAGATGTAGTTTAACGTCTGCAGTTTTCTGACTGATGTCCTTTGCTTGGAAAGTGCTGATCCCATCTGTTGCAGGAACAGGTGAATCCCTTCTCTCAGCTCCCCAGTGTGGTCTCCAGGGGCTTTCAGTTGGAGTGGACAGCTGCAGAACCAAAGATCTCTCCCTTTTCTGAGTCCTGGCTCTTGGCAGTCCCTATTAGGCAGGTCCTCAGCTCCATGGCTGGTTCTTTGCTGGACAGGGGTCTTTGTGAGACTCCTGGCCCCCAGTTGCTGCTCGTCTATGCAGGGGTGCCTCTCATCATCCCCATCCTCCAGCACAGAAACTGAACAAAATGTGGAGTTTATCCCCACCTTGCCCTGAAAAAAAACACCTGAAGGTACCCTGAAGATTTTTTGTAAGATTTTCACCACAGAGGAAAGAGAACCAACTCTGCTCTTAAGTACCAAATTTAAACAGTGTTTTCAGAAAGACTACTTTTCCTGAGGCAGACAATCTCAGTTTCAGTGTAGGAATACTCACCGATAAACTTAGCAAAATGAGAGAAAATAAGCAAACGAGGATCTTTCATAGTGTTACTTTGTAATTTTAAAACACTAACAACCACCAATATTTTATGCTCAGTCTACAAAATGAGTGACAAATAGGGCAATAGTATCTGAGCACCTGTATGATCCCATCCATTCTGTATACTGCCTCCTCTAAAAGCCTTGTATTTATCCTTCATTTCAAACAATTCTCCTTTAAAATCACCTCTAACATTAGTATTGACTTAAACCACTGTCAAATTTCACTTTAAAAACAGCACTGTAATACCTACCTGCTTCAGAAATCTGAAAGAAAATTAAAACCATAGCCCAAGAGTGGTTAACAAGGCAACACACAGGACAGCACATTTGGAGTACCAACATTTAGGTGGCCACAATGAACAACTTTAATTTTACTGAAAGACTGTAGTAAGCATATCTATCACATGGACGGAAAGAAAGGCTGGTGGCAGTGATCATCAAATCAGGGTTGATCTCAAAGCTCTGGGTATACAGAATATCCCACTGATCTTCATGAAACAATTTCAGCTTCTGCAGATTGGACCACACTTCACTAAGCTCAATTAGGTCATTCTGAAAGGCTGATAATGGTAGTATTTAACTCAGTTATATGAGCTTATTACTAAATAAATATGTCTAGGTCTTCAAATATTTTTAGTGAAAGCTGAATGCCACAGTGCAATACACAACCCTTACAGATGTTCTGTGCTTTGCTGTTTTAATGGTTTCCTTTAAAAATCTCCTTTCCTCTTTCTTATGTATTTTAAACATAGTGAACACAGACCACTTTGTGAGGGGCTAAACACTTGCTCTTACAGGCTAGAAATGCCCCTCACATCATTCACACCATTTGTATCATTCAGATCACATAGTTCAAGACAAAAATTCTGCAGGATAAGGCAAGGAAAACTGACCTTTCCGGAAGACATTCAAATCTCCCGTTGAAATGGTATTACTGCGTGAGGGCGGCGCTCCTGTGGCGGGGATGCAGTAACTGCTGTCAGTGTCTGAAGCAGTGCGACTGATGCTACAGGTTTCCACAGGAGATCGATCCACCGCCTGGTGAGGTTTGGGTGGCCGAGGTGGAGGGATGTCTGGAATAGTCTCCAGTTTTGAAGTCTGAGACAATGTTCCCTCTGGGAAAGTTCGTGGGATCTGATAAGTACCTCCAGGTGTGGGGGGAATGTCATAGCTAATGGAGATGTGCCTCATCTGTGCGTCTAATGACATTGCTGATGGGGTATTGAAAACATGTTGCTCTCCTTCAGCATCAGTCCCAGATGGAGATGCTGCCTTGGGCAAAACATCCTGGGAGTAACTCCTAGGCAGGTTGTAGAGGCTGGAGTCTGCCAGCATCAGCGTGGATCGGGAAGGTGGGGAATCGTAGACACCCTGCTGTGGGAAGAAGCCGTTCACAGCATGCTTGCTCCCTGATGGAGCAGGGTTTTTGTGGGAGGGCAGGTTATCATTGCAGTCTGTTTCTGAAGAGCTGGATTTTGCAGAGTCAGCATGAGATCTACATGTGAGATTGCGAGAAAAGAACGATGATGAACACACAGAGAAAAACAAACACTGCAAGTCATAAACACATTTATCATGTCGCCAACTGAAAAGTCTACCACTGTATTCCAATTTTTTTTTATTTTTTACTTTTTTAAATGCGATGCAGGAACTTGGTTATTAAACAAGCAAGAGTACCTAGGGATCCTAAGTAGCTACATTCATATAAATTCAAAGCACAACTGTGGAGCGTTATCAACAGCTCCTCAACAGGTCGATGTTTCATAAAGCAAGCGGTTATCAGGATGCCAGTTTGAAGCCAAATTTGTTTGGGGGCTGGTGGTTTTTTAATTATTATTTTTTTAACCCATGCTACAAACTAGCAGCACTTCATTGGCACTGTTAAAGGTAAAAATAAGATGCTCAATTATTGGATTTACAGCACTTGATAATTCTAATCATTATTTAAAAAATGTTAAGAGAAAAAATATGTCTGCTTTTAAGCCCCTAAATGCCTTAAGTGCCTGAAATTATACTGACCGTATAAAACTCATTTCAAATATGCAATGAAAAGAGAAAGAAGGGGTAAGATCATAAATAGGAGGAAAATAGTATGTTCTATGAAAGAAAAAAATCCATAGGTTACATGTGCAACAGACAGCTTTTGTCTTGAATGAAAATGGAAGTGGTGTTAGATAAAGCTGCAGAGCAGTTTACTTTTGATTTCTTAGGAAATTCTTTTATGAGAACAGCACTCATTACTATTGGTACTAACCACTACCAGTAAACTTACTTAGGAAGTTTATTCCAATAATTTGATTTCCTTTCTAAACCTCCCCATTTACTGTGCTCCAGGCAGAGAAATTCACTTATCAGTCTGGCTCCTTGCTTAAATGAAAGTCAAAACACTGGCAAAATACTAACTCTGGAGATGTTAGTGGTGTAGTTAAGGAAGTCCATACACTTTTTGATCAAACATACCATATTTCCTATTTTCGTTACTACCATACCATACCATACCATACCATACCATACCATACCATACCATACCGTTAATTTATACATGCACATGTAGATATTTCAGCATGCATGGTATCAGGCTCTGCACCTCAAAGTGCTCACAACCAATATTTATTATTCACATTTCATTTGTCAATAAGTATGTACAGAACTTTCTTAAGGGAAAGCCAGATTTATCTCCCAGGGTTCTGGCAACATGAGGAAAAAGGAATTCAGTTAAACTATTCATTTAGGGTCCCTCTCCAGTCATCAGAGGAATAGAGGCTGTGTGAAACACAATCTGTTCTTAGGTAGCCATCTAAACCCAATGAATCACTCCCTAAGTGCTTCTGTGCCAGCTGTCAGAGGAACCAACATGATCAGCTTGGAATGGACATCTGCACTCAAGAGAAATGTCATTCACCTCACCAACCGGTTTTTGTTCTGTGTAACAGCAAAGATACAATCAGGACAAGAGGCTTACAATAGTTCTCACTTCAATTTTATCACCTTTTCCTATCAGCTTACTCTTATTGTTTTTGCATTTTTTCCATGAGAAAAGGTATAGTAATTTTGGTCTGGTTACTATCTTAAACAGATTTCAGTTCTGTCACTGGTCAGAACTGGTGTCCAGGTAACAGTGAACTTTAATCTACATTTAGTTTAATTGACTCCCCTAAAAAAGAAGATAATTTTCTCATTATTTGTTCTCAGCACAACCAAGAAAGGAAAACTTCCTACATTCCTCATGATGCTGACCATGAATACATATTTATATTGTTTGTTAACAGTTGCCTTAGAGCTCCTTGCCTCAGAGCTTCAAAAATTCATGTATGAACCACTGGAAGTTTAAAACACTTGCAAAATATAGAGCACATAGGACTGAAGGAAGTACATGAGGTTACAGAGTGCATAATAGATTGTGAACACTCTGAGTTCAGCCCCTGCTGCAGCCCTTCCTTTTTTTTTTAAAGGATTGATTCAAGAGTTCCTGATATACTAGATTTCTAGATATACTCTCCTACTTCTATGATATCCATTTAGACCAAAATCCCAAAAAAAGTCAAGTGTTTTTGACATGAGCAAATATGGCAAGGATTGGGATCTCTAATTTTTATACTCTAAAAATAAAGTGGGCTATCTAGAGAAGCTGGACACTGACAATCAATTGTGGAAGCAAAATTATTAGTTCCAGTTCACTAGGATATACTTTAAAAGGAAAAAAATTCTAAAACTACGGCATAAAACATAAACACTACATTTATCTTACAAAAACATGTAGGAATATATGTAACAAGGCTCAAAATGAAACAACAGCATATTTACAATGCCAGAGCCTAATGATTACCCATGAAATTCAAGCAACAAATGCTATCCTTTTTCAATATAGGAGTTTTTCTGGGTCTAAGTGAATGATGTTTCTTTCTTGACCACAAACACTTGTGCAAACTTTAGGCTTTCAAAAACCATGAAACATGAGGCAACCAGGTCTGTAATTTGCTTAGCTGATGGCAACAGCTTACATATCTTATTACAAGATTTAATTCACAATTTTGAAAGTAATCTTTTGTAATCAACATCTTGGTCTACTGCAATAATTTTCAAAATGTGAATGGGCTGTAAGCAATCTGATTTTGTACAACGGGAAGTCTGAAGACACGCTGAAACAAAGCAAGCAGTTTATGCCAAAATGAAGCCAGAAAATTCAGCCTCAGAATTTTAACTATTTTTAAAAGTCATCATTAACCACTGACCATGATAAGAACACCATATACAATTCTGAAAATGTACAGTGCATAGTTGACAGGAGCAGACTGTACTCCTGGTTTGAGTTTTTTTCTTTAAGTTCTTTCTCAAGGTCTTCTGTACTTAAGGAATTTTAATTTTCCCTTCAGTACAGTTCAATAAAAAAAATCAATTGGCTTAAATAGTCCATTAACTGTTGGTTATTATGGCAAATATTAAAGGGTTTTTACAACTCAGTTTAAAATAATGGCAAAGCTGGATGTAACATAATGATAAGTGGAGGATGACTATGACATGAATTCAGTGTTATCACATGTGTGTACCACATACGTGCAAATTATGCTAAGTGGCCAAACTATCCCTTATTCAGTGCTAGGCCTGGCCATCTCTTTCCACATACCAAGAAAAGAAAGCTGTCCAGCCTGTTGATCTACAAGGACTAGGCATTAAGTTGAACAGAGAGGAGGTGGGGCAATGATGCAAGGGGAGCCCAGTAAAAAGCCAGCCTCCACATACTAAAAACCACTTGTTGACAGAGACCCAGGAGAAAGGTTTATCAAGTGTTTTAGTCTGAGGGGTAATCATCTCATTTTTGCAAATAAAGTATTCACGCTTGCTTGACCACTCATCCTTTTCAGCTGATTCTTTTCCCATCTGCAGGACTCTAAATGACTGATTAAACAGAATATTATGAACAAAATGGCAGCAAAATTGCTCTTGTGTGCCAGCAATCTGGGATAGCAACAGCAAGTATAGAAATAACAGGATAGATGTATAAATAACAACCAGACTTCTTTCAGAAAACGGAAGCCAAAGTCGCATAGTTTTTCTGTTAAAACTCACAGAACACCATGCAAGATGAGTCTCAAACAAACAATGTTTTCAGGCAAGTTAATGGCTCTGTGATTAATTTCTCACACGTGTTCAAAGTATGGCTACTGTTCACTCACTGCAGTGGAATCTTTTTACTTTCAAAGTCTTCTAATAGCAGGTATTCCTGCCCTTCTTCTGAGAGAAAAGGTGATCCTTGGCTGGTTCATACACACAGGAAAGATAAGGAAGACAGCATTCAGTATTTCAATACACCTCTCAAATGAGCCAGAACAATAAGGGATTTGGAAGCAATGTTTGGCTGCATTTTCTTATCTAGGATCCAAACACAAACCTTAAAATCTCCCTAAATGCTACAGTGAAACAATGCTCTTTCTTAAGAGCACTCTTAAGCCAGCAGTGATCAGAGCATGAAACTATTTTAGACAACATACTGCATTATAGTTACAGCTGCAATTGCTGCGTGCAAGACATTCTCATGACAGTATGTGGTGCACTCTATGACACTGTAATGGAGCATTTAATAACTATTTGCTAGGTCTGAAACACTACAATTCTCAAAAATCCCAAAGAGGCGATTCAGATACATCTATATTTCAGTTACCCATCCCACCCAAAAAAGAACTTCAAATAAAACTTTGAACCTCAAATAGAACCTTGAAATCAAATTCAGTGGTTCCCAGATTAGCTGTAAAGTAACATGCAGAATCAGAATAGAAAACGTTCCCTCTGCATATTGGTAATTTTTAAGTCTAAAGAGAAAACATTTAAGTAACAGTACCTGACTGTTTAATTGCAGCTATTAAGCCTTGCACTTTGCACTAAGTCTGTATGAAATACACAGAAAAATCGTTCAAGCCTGGAAAATAAGAAAATGATGCTGCCATTTAAACGTTTTTCTTTGACTGTAAGGATGTGGATTAGGGTAGAGTGCACTCTTACAAATCATCTTAGTAATGTGCTACACACATACACGAAGTTCTCATTCCACAGGAAAACATCTATATGCTCTATATTCTCTCCCAAATCCAGCAGCTTACCTACTTAATCAGACATAAAATACAGGCAGTCCTTTCAAGTGGAACTGAAAGTCCATCACAACTGTTATTCTGAATTTTCATTATCACAGCCTTTTTAATGAAAGGACACACTTATTTAGTTAAAGAAAATAAACTAGGACCATATAGCCAAGTGGTCAAAATGTCAATGTCTTCAAATATTTCTATAAAGCCACCATTTATTTAAACAATCTCTACACTCCCAAAGATTTTGTTCCATTCTTTCAGTTCATATTATCAGTGGCATTTTATCTCCACTGGACCTTTTGCCTTCCCCAGTATCTTCTCCCCTGTGTCACCAGTGACTTCCTTCGAAATTTTGCAGGCTAATCATGGACTCTATACTTTGTCACATTTTGTAACCCCTTCTATCATCTCCTGAGCCTCTACTTAACCCACACATCACATAACTGTGGAAGTCAGGTTAGAAAGTCAATTACACATCCCAATCTTTATAATTCCTAAAAACACCTTTACATTGTGGTGGTCAAACTCTGCTCTGAGTCTGTCCCTCACAGAAACAAATGGGCACTCAGACACATTTCTGATGGGCCAGAGTGCTGAAATCCAAGCCAATTCCTCTGCCAAGCTGCTCTGGAAGTGATATTGAACTTAAAAGCTTTTGGCAGGAACACTGACATTCCTCTTTGGCACTAAACATCCACTTCAGCTTCTGAACACCACTAAACACTGAAACCTTCAATACTGGGTTTCCCCTTCTCCTGCAGGAGGTTCTGGGGCCTTCCATGCTGCCTGTAACCTGCACACTGTATACTCTGGGGGAACTGTAGGCTCACTTCCTTGTTTTACAGGGAAGGCTGCAAAAGGTGGATATTTTTCTACCACATAATCATCAGTAAATAGAGGAGGAAACTCTTTAGGCACAACAGAACAAGATAAAAACAACAAATAAGAACAAGGCAATGCAGAGCACAAAGCACAGGTAAAACTGGCAGAGCATCAAGGTGTTGATGTGGAAGGCACTGCCACTGAAAGGTATGGCCCTAAGGAAGTATATGAAATAGTCATGAAAATACTTTCAAAGGAAGCTTTCTTCAGCCTTCTATGTATTTGTAATCACAAAAATAATATGATGTTTTGTTAATTTTTCTGGAAATTTTCAGCAGATTTTATTTGAAATTACTGCAGAAAAGAAGCTTGGCAGAGGGATTTATAAGGTTCTCCAACAGAATGCTCAAGGTCAGAAGGTAACTCTGGACTTTATCTGCTCAGCTTTTCCAGTATCTCTACACAAACTCTTCAAAACCAGCTGAGGCTCCTCAGGAGCTTATCCATTCGTAGTTCTTTTAAATAGCTTTTTTTTTTTTTTGAAGAGGACAGAGACTCCAGTATGTCCCTGGGCAGCCTGCTCTAGGAATGGCCACCATGATCCATTCTGGCAAACCACAGTAATATTTCCCAGGTAGCTACTACGAATATCATATCCTCTTATGCAAGAGGTGCTGTGCATGTATTTAAGTTAGCAGTACCAGTTGTAGAAATAAATAGAGATTTAATTTGGTAGAAATTCTAAATTTTTCCTCAAATTTTCTGTTGCACACTTCTCTAGAGAACTGTGTAGATACTTTATTCAGTAAAAAATAAAGCTTATTTGAGTTTCCTTTAAAATATCTGTTATTTGGAAAAAGCTGAAATTCAGGATATGGAAACTGAATTATTTCAGTCTCTGCATTCTTAGTTATCATAAAATAATTGCTGTTTCTTTGTTCTTTGAGAGTCTGAACCATGCTAGTAAGACTAAACAAATGGCACTTGAAGATCACTGTACTCACTGATGTGCTAACCTGGCAAGTGACAATAAAATCAGCATGTTTTCTAAACCTCTTCCACAAAAGTTTTAACTGGCAAAATTGGGGCACCAAACGTAAAGAAGGAGAAAGGCTAAATTCCTCCAGGTTTTTCTAGTACTAAACTGGACTAAACACTCCAGATTGTGGCTAAAGAATGTGTACTTGGTGTCATGTACCACTCCAAGCTCCAATAAAACACTTGGATTGCCGCATTACTGTGATACTTCATGTTAGCAATTGCTGTCCACACTTTTGGGGAATGCAATATGGGTCTAGCACTGATCAAACAACTTATTATTGCAGCAAAAGGTTTAATGTATGTAAAGAAAAGAAGGAAAAGCTACAGACAGCTTCCCTGTGTAGATATGTGCATCTAAATGATCAATGTCTTGGCAATAAAAAAATGCATTCAGCATAAACATTCTTGGCCTGTAACACAAATACGTGTTATTAAGAAACAAAAGTCACTTACCTCATAGGTTCAGGTTTTTTACTTTGACAGTTTATTAGCAGTAAGTAGTCTTGAGGATCTTCTTGACCAGAGGAAGACTCCAGAGGGGGGATGTTAATAAGCCGATAAGGAGAAGGAAGGGAAGATTCTGCTTGCATGGAAGGTGGTGAAGTGTTGATGGGCAAGGGTAACTCAGCAGATGGCTGCAAAGAACTAACTGGTGGCTTCACAGCATCTGCAAACACAGAAGCAAAGAATTCTTTATATAGAAGACATGAAGAAATAGTTCTTCCAAAATAAGAAAATTATTAACAGAGGATGCAAAAAATCTTGGGCTTTAGTTCAAATTTGTGAAATTGGACATAAGAACATCTGGATGTTAATGTTTGTCTCAGGGTATTTACATTTATATATCAATCTTAATATTTTCAAACTGCAAAGAATTTCTTAAATAAGTCTTGGAAACAGGGGTTCTGCCTTATTTAAAGACTTATTTAACCTCTTTTCTGGCCACAGAAAAAATTAAGATGCTGACTGCTGAAGTAATACAGCTAAAAACACAAATCTGTTTTAATCAAGAGCAGGCAAAAGCCCCTAAGTTATTACTTGAGCATGGCAACCTGAGCCAGCACTTGCAAGTATTCATTCCTTTTAGACCAAGGTCACTTCAGTGTTTGAGATTAGTCACCAGGCAAGACCTGGCCACTTTCAATACCTGAAAATCAACAGGAAAACTGCTGGGGTTGATCAGACCATAAATATCAACCTAAAACCATGGGAGGTTTGGCCAACATTAAGTTAGTGTGAGCAGTACCCTGACAGCGTTGCCCCCTGGGAAAGTGGCATGTAAATAGTTTTAACTTTATAATGTTGTGGTTCTAGAAAGTTCCCCAGCTCTTCCCTCTGATTGGTTGTTGTCTGTCACATTGGTTTTCATATTCCTAAGCATTGTTTTTTATTGGACCCTTACCCTCAGACTCCACCTCCAACCTACCCCTTATATATTTTGTACCTATCTTGGCTCTGGCCTTTGGAGCTCACCCTGCACTTGCTGTTCAGATTACCTCATTTGTTGTTTTACAACAAATTAATATTACAACCTATTGAAGTATTTTTGTTCTGGGTTACTGCATCGTGCCTGTCCTTTTATTTTATCATCACTATTACTCTCTACTGATGTGGTCCCAAGGTGGGAGACAACCAGACCTCAGCCAGGCTCCTACAGCTGGTGCTTGAACAGGGACCCCTGCTATTCACAGGGCGTGTCAGCAAGAGTCCTGAAGCCAACTAGACCATTCCCTTCTCCCATGGATTTTGGATTTTTGTGCCAGGCCTGGCAGATTTGGCCAAAGAATTTGGTGGCTTAGACATCAAGAGGAAGGGTGGCCTGAAGCAACAGGGTAGGCACCCCAAGGCAGCCACGCAGAATGTGGTAAGGAATCCTGCAACAAGAGCAGGTAGGAGAAGGGAGACATCTGCCCCATCACCCTACCCTAACTGGGGAGGCACATCCTACCCCATCCAAGCTGCACTTGTTGTGTGATGGGTTCCCAGATGTCACACGTAGAAAAGGATGCTTACCACCAGTTTAAGTTGAAATTTGCATCCCAGGGAAAGAAATTCAAAAAGAAGGAGCTTAAAAATATTATCCAGTGGGCATTAAAAAATTTCCCTAATGATACTGCCCATAAGATATTTAAATTCAAATTTTGGGACTCAGAGGGAGTGAAACTCTATGATTCAGCCACAAAAATGGATCATTCTGCTCCACAATTATTTCTGTTATTTTCAACAGTTCTTGAGATCTTAAAAGCAGAGGAAAAATATTGTGAACTCAGCTCAAGCAATTCAAACCACCCTGGCATTGCCTCCCCATCCTCTGACCTTGGGACTGGGACACGAGAGCAAAGCCTGCCAAGTGCATGCTTGAGCCTGTGCTACATGCAACTCCTGTCCTTTCACGCCCCTATCCTTCCAGACCCTTGGACAACCCTCCTCCAATCCCTCCTCAAGGGAGCTGAAGATGGCAGAGCTCCCATCTTAGAGCCTCCTCCCTCAACCTTGCACCTCTGCATTCTCCTCAACCTTCCTTCACTACCTTCTCTCCTAACACCAGAAATGTAACTGATCACTCTCTTGGGACAGCAACTAACACTTGCCATCCAACTGCCAATCACCCTCGGGACACCTCCCTCGGCCCTGCCCCTTCTGTTCTGGAGCATACCCGTTCCACCTCGAGCCACATTTCCCTTTTGGAAAAACCAGAACTGTCCCTGTAGGCCACATCCCTCTGATGCAACCAGAACCCTGCCCACCTGGGTTCCAGAAGGGCCCTCCTCTAACATGGCAGCAATAAGGCAGATGACACCAAGGCCTACCCAAAGACCTACCACACAAAAACCAGTCTAATAAAAAAGTTTTTGTTGTGTCGGATGGTTTGTCCTCCTCCTCCTCCTTTTCATCTGAAGAGGACATCAGCCTACTGGAGCCCAATAAAGACCCATGGGAGAAAATCCTGAGGACTCTGGTAAAGGAGGGGAATTGGGACTTGGCTTCAAAACTTAATGCCTGTCCATTATGCAAGGTGGATGCCAATCTGCGTCGGAAACCATTGGCTTATGGGGAAATTAAGGAGCTATGCAAAGCCTCACAGGAGTATGGGAATCACTATTCTTCACCAGTCTGGTATTAGCTACCTCCTCAGCTCATGTACTGACCCCGCAGGATATGCGTTACATTATCACAATGCTATTGTCCCCAGCTGATTCCCTATGGGAATTAGGTTGGAAGAGGCTACTAAATCAACTGTTGAGAGACTATGCGGGGGACCAAGCAAGGGCGGCACTAACTTTAGATCACCTAGCTGGAGAAGGGGCCCATACAGATCCAGGCCAGCAGGCAGAAAACCTTCCTAGGCCCATTCTTAATGACAATAAAGACGCAGCTAGGAAAGTGTTGCTACAAGTCCTTGATAGTAGTAAACCCAACTTGGACTTTGCCAATATCCAACAAGGGCCTAACAAGCCCTATATGAAATTTCTTGACAGACTGAAACTGGCTTTAGACAAACAAATTGTATTAGACCATGCAACAGAGGAATTGTTAAAGAGCCTGGTGGTTACTAATGCTAATTCAGAATGCAAAAAAGTGCTACGTGCACTCCCGATAGAGCTGGAGCCATCCATCGCCCAAATGATTGAGGCTTGCAACCCTTTAACAACCCCTGAACATACTGCAGTGCTGTAAGCAGAGGTCCTTGCTGAAGCCTTAACCACCTTTCAAGGAATTTCAAGGAAATTTCAAGGAAAAAAAACAGCAGGACAAAAGGCAGAAATGTTTTAAATGTGGAAAGGATGGACACTTTTCAAAAAACTGTCCCCAGCAGAGACACAAGACATACCTGTGGATATAATGGGCACTTTCATGGGCCTAACAGATTTTATTCAGAGTGGGAAAGGTGCTGTCAACTGTCATGCAACTGGCAACACAGCAGGAGACAGTGGTGCAAGAACACAGGAAACACTGTTGCCCATGTGAGAGAACACCAGAGACCGGCAGGCGCACAATTACAATACATCCTTTCCGACCTCCCTACCCCAATGCCTCCAGGTACCTGACTGGAGTTGCCAACTGCTCAAACAGTGATCCTCACCGACCTCATGGCCCATACCATCTCCACAGGTCAATTAGGCCCTGAACAATGGTCACACGAGTTTTTAATTTTGGGACTGAATAGGTCTAGTGCAAAACTATTTTTTTTTTTACCTTTGGTTTTGTCTGTATCTTCATCCCAAGACTTGGCTGTCCTCGCCATGTGCCCCAATTCCCCATGCTTTATCCCAAAGGGACTAGTTATTGCTCAGGCTTTTCTTTTACCAGAGCCAGACTATTTCACTCCAGACAAGTCACTCGTTATGAGAACAAGAAAGATCAGTAGAGGCTGACCACAGCTCACTTGTCCTCTGAAGTATAACAGCAAAGCCATCAGCCTTACTGTCCTGATTGACACTGCAGCTGATGTCACAGTAATTTCAAAATCTTATTGGCCTTCGGAGTGGACCCTAGTATCTTCTCTTGACACTCTTCAGGGATTGGTGGCAATAGCAGTCTACACCTCATCAGTTTTGAAGGACCTGAAGGTTGCATTGCCTCCACAAAACCATCCACAGTGAAGGTTCCAATAGTCCTATGGGGGAAAGACATTTTGTCTCAATAGGGAGTCAAGCTGAAAGCAAATTTTTAACTCGGGCTGCTGATGAGGGCTATACCTTAAAACTTCCCTGAAAATTACATAAGCCCATTTGGGTAGATCAGTGGCCCTTACCTTCTGAAAAACTGGTCATGCTAGAACTGTTGGTAAAATAACAATTGGACAAGGGCCATATTGTCCCAACTACCATCCCTTGGAATGCCCCAATTTTTGTTATCAAGAAATGGCATAGTGACAGATGGCATCTCCTACAAGACCTTAAAAAATTATGCTGTTACAGAACAAATGAACACCTTACAACCTGGCCTTCCATCCCCTGCTATAATCCCAAGGGACTGGAAGTCAATTATTATTGATTTAAGACTTTTTTCAACATTCCTTTACATCTGGATGATGCCTCATGATTTGCCTTCTCAATACTATCTATCAATAGACAAGTTCCTCTACAAATTGGATGGTACTACCCCAGGGTATGCAGAACTCACCCACAATCTGCGAGTGGTATGTTGCCAAAATTCTCACCCCTGCACATTTTCAGTACCCTCAAGCCATCATCTATCACTACATGGATGATATTCTTGTGGCAGCAAAAGATGATTTATCTCTAAAGGCCACTTCAGAAACAGTCCTCTCAGCAGTGCAGGATGCTGGATTCCTTGCTGCTGAGGAAAAGATACAGCAAATTTCCCTATGGAAGTATCTTGGATACCAAATATCAGAATATCTCATTCAACCCACAAACACTAAACAACATGCTCTTGGGAACAATTAACTGGATTTAACCTTTATTAGGAATCACAAATGAAGATTTGGCCCCATTGTCCAATTTGCTAAAAGGAGATAAAACATTAAATTCACCCAGAAGTTTAACTAAAGAAGCCCAAGATGCTCTTGACAAAATGTCCCAAGCCATTCAATTGCATCAGGCTCATCGAATTAACCCTGAATTACCTTTTTTATTTGCTATTTTGGGAGAAAAACCTCAGTTTTATGGTTTAATTTTTCAGTGAGACTCAAAAATAGTTGACCCCTTGCTAATCTTAGAATGGATCTTTTTATCATGTCAATTGGGTAAAACAATAACTACTCCACCAGAGATAATAGCCCAGTTGATCATAAAAGCTAGATTGTGGATACTTTCCCTTTCACGAAGAGACTTTTCAGTTCTATTTCTACCCATAACTTCCACTTACTTAGACTGGTTAATACCACAATGATTGTTTACAGTATGTATTAGCAAATTTTACAGGTCAGATTTCAGTTCATTACCCCAAGCAAAAGTTGTTCTTCTTTCAATTTAATTTTAAAATCTCTGAGAAGTCATGTCCCCCTTGATGCTATTACTGTCTTTACAGATGGCTCTGGAAAAACACAGAAGTCTGCTATTACTTGCCAAGATCCTAACACAAAAGAATGGGAATCAGATATTGAAATAGTAGAAGGTTCGCCACAAATCATAGAGCTGGCTGCAGTTGTCCATGCTTTTTCTAAATTTACAATTCCTTTTAATTTGGTTACATATTCTTTTTACGTTGCAGGCATCATACAAAGAGCAGAAGGTTCTCCTAAAAACAGTACCTAATGAAAAGTTGTATGCTCTACTTAAGAGATTTATTTTTATTCTTTCAGACAGCAACCTTATTTTGTAGCACACATTCGGTCCCACACTTCGTTACTAGGTTTTGTAGCAGAAGGCAACAACCATACAGACCTTCTAACCATGACAATACAAGCCACACTACCCAATTTTTTTTTTAACAAGACCATTTGGGTCATTCATTTTTTCACCACAATGCCCCTGTGCTTATGTGAATGCTTAATATTAATAAAGCACAAGCAAAGATGATCATCAGCTCCTGCCCACATTGCCAGAAATGTTCACTACCCTCCACTGGAGGCAGAGTAAATCCCTGAGGTTTAAACAGCTTAGAGCTATGGCAATCAGATGTAACACATTATCAATCTTCTGGACAGTTTAAATATTTACATGTGTCTATTGATATGTTCTCTGGAACTATCTTTGCTTTTGCTCATAATGGGGAGAAGGCCAGGGATGTAATAAAACATTTCTTGTAGGCATTTTCATCTTTAGGTGCACCCCAAGAAATTGATAGACAACAGACCAGCATACATATCACACAAAGTACAACAATTTTTTAACCTTTGGGGCATAACAGGGGTATTCCTCATTCCTCCAGGACAAATCAATTATTGAAAGGGCCCACAGGTCTCTTAAAGACCTTTTAGAAAAACAAAAAGGGGGAGTAGAGGTCTTATCAACTGTAGAAAGACTTTGTAAAGCTGTCTTTAATTTTTTGAACAACTCACTGAATTCACCCATGGAGACCAGTCCACCAATTTTTAGACATTTTTTGAACACAACTCGAGCAAAATTAAAAGAAAGACCACCTGTTTTAATAAGGGATCCTGAATCTAAACAAATTTCAGGGCCCTTTCCACTCATCACCTGAAGAAGGGGGTTTGCTTGTGTTTCTACAGATAAAGGACCCAGGTGAATCCCCATGAAGAGCATCAAACAGCATCTACAGCAACTCCAGCCTAGAGAAGGCAGTCACACCAAGAGAAAACAAAGACTCACCATGATCTACTTAAAGGAAACCAGAAATGACCTTTCAAAATTCTCTGCTCATCCTTTGTAGTTTTCTTAGTCTTCTCCTTCAAGGTATATATTGGATCGTTCCACAACTAACACAAAATGTTTGTGTAATGTTGGCAAATATAACAAAAAAAGAAACAATGTGCCTCTCTGTAGCCAGCCCTGATAACCCTTTTTCCACTTGCCTAGTTGGGCGAGCCTCAGATGTGTGGCCAATACCAGAGGATGCCAAATGTAACCTGCAAAGAAATAGTCCTCAGAACACCAAGATCTACACCTTTGTCCCCGAAACTCCTGTGTCCACCACTAGAATCACAAGAATTGGAACTGCTTAGTTCAGTAAAAATGGACTATTGTGTGAAATTCTATTATATGAAAGAAATAAATTAACAAAGAAAAGAGACCTATAAATCTAATAGGTGAAAAAATAGTCAGGTGGAATGTTTTCCCACACAATCAATTATATAAAAATCAAAGTTTATGATGTAATTACACACACCCTACCCATACTTTCCTGGTCCAGTAGTCACCCTATCCAATTACCACCTGGCATATTTTTAATCTGCGGGGATAGAGCCTGGGCAGCAATTCTATTGCACATCAAAGGGGGGCCGTGCAGCTTAGGAATGCTTACAATGCTAACCAACATCACCATGGTACATAAGAAACAATTAGCAAGGATAAAGAGATTTGTTCTTCAATTCTAGCAGGATTGTAATGATAAAATTACCTATTGGACAAAGACAACAAATATCATGATGTCTGTGCTACTGCCATGGGTAGCTGCAGCCAAGGCATTAAAACAATTAGATGGCATTGGGTGCTGGCTAAGTAAACAAACTAATACAACTTCAGTCACCCTTAGTGAATTACTGATATAGACAGTGTAAGGCATGCAACCCTACAGAATAAGGCTGCTAGACTTCTTGTTGCTGGCACAGGGACACAATTGTGAGGAGTTTGAGGGCTTATGCTGCATGAATTTTTCCAACCATAGTGAATCCATCCACTACAGCATAAGCATGTTGAAGGAGAGGATAAGGAAAATACAAGTTGAGCAAGAAAGAAACTGGATCAGCAAATTGTTCAAGAAGTGGGATTTTTCAAATTATGCTTTGTCTGTTAAAAAAACAGGATTATTAGTTTTGTTAATGATAGTTATAATGTTAAATTTGCTGCCATGTTTACTTCAGTGCATGTTAGAAAATTTTAAGAATTCTGTGTACATATCTCATTTAAAGAAACAAAAAGGGGGAGATGTTGCTGGGGTTGACCATAAATATCAACCTAAAACCATGGAAGTCTGGTCTGTAGGCCAACATTAAGTCAGGGTGAGCAGTACCCTGACAGTCTTGCCCCCTGGGAAAGTGGCATGTAAATAGTTTTAACTTTATAATACTGTGGTTCTAGAAAGTTCCCCAGCTCTTCCCTCTGATTGGTTGTTGTCTGTCACATTGGTTTTCATATTCCTAAGCATTGTTTTTTATTGGACCCTTACCCTCAGACTCTGCCTCTGAATTACCCCTTATATATTTTGTACCTATCTTGGCCCTGGCCTTTGGAGCTCACCCTACACTTGCTGTTCAGATTATCTCATTTGTTGTTTTACCCTTATTAAAGTATTTCTATTTTGGGTTAGTGCATCACGCTTGTCCTTTTATTTTATGTATTATTTTATTTTAATTTATTTTATTTTATTTTATGTCACCATTACTCTCTACTGACGTGGTCCCAAGGAGGAAGCCAACAGGACCTCGGCCAGGATCCTACAGAAAATTGCTACTTTTGTAATAGGAGACCCCTCACAACTACAAAAATAATGCAAAGGTACAATAGGTAACATGTTCCTCTAGGCCCTCTGATTACATACCCTAATTTTTATTTTTGTGCAATAAATTCAGCAGTTGTGGTTGGGTTTGGTTTTGGTCTCCTTTTCTTGTTTTGTTTTGGCTTAGTTTGGATTTCTTTTGGGGTGGGGGGAGAGAAGGTGTTGCACTGTGGTTTGTTTTGTTTTTTTAAGTAACCTTATAATTATCCTCTTTCTATCCATGTATATTCTAAAGTAACTTCTTTTTTCCTTCCAAATACATGTATCCAGACTTAAATTATCTGGGAGACTAGAAAATATTGACACCATCAAACATTAAGCCATCATTTGGCTTTTTCATTGTTTTAATGACACATTGACTAAGAACAACATCATTAAGCAAACTATTTCCAAATTATCATGGCTCCCTTGCAACTCTTTGTACTTTCCAATTTGCATATCCCAAGAATGGACGCTGATTATTAGCACTGTTTAAATGAACATACTATTATCCAATGCTCCTGCTCTTGTCAGGCTTACAGGCCAGCTATGCACTACAAAGTAGCTTCATTCAACTTCTGCTTCCCAGCACTACCCTGGGAAAAACCAGATGAGCAGCCCAGAACACAGCCCTCCTGCTTCCAGTCCTGTATACACCAGGTACAAGTGATTTAGACATGGAAATAGAAACAGCAGCACTTGCTTTGAACTCCCATGGCACCTAAACAGGCTCAGAAATTAAATCTCACCACACCCATGTGGGTGGAAGAAGTCTAGGTGCATAAAAACTCCTCAACTCAACCTCACTGAAAAGATAGGATAGCCTAAAAAAAGTTATTATGAAGGGTTGTGGCTGACTTATTCATTAAACAAGTTAGCAGAAGAAAAACCAGACTGTATTGAGGGATCACACACATAAAAATAAACTTATGTACCCAGATCAGATAAATAATAGTATAGAGATGTTTATAATTCATAAAATCTTTATACATTAAATTTCTTGAAACACATATTCCTGGAAATTCCTTACCACATCCTATAGCTTAGAAAAATGGGGAAAAAAGATAAAATTCATTACATTAATTGTTCCCTGAAAACTGTTATTTAAAATAGCCAATGTTTACTTAAACACCCTTGCCTTTCCTACACACTTCCTATTTATTTGTATTTTAGAGTCACTTCTTTTTTCCTTTCAAATACAACAGTACTTGGATGCAAAAGCTAACAAAAAAGTAGCTTATTTTCTACATGCTGAAATACAAAACACGAACAATTTTCTATCATTTAGGAAATTTGAGAGCTTGAAGGATCCTCTTTAAGGCACCTACTAATGTTTCTTGATTCCCCTAATGCAGGGATTCAACAGCAGGAACAGAAAAGTGCCTGAATGGACCTACCAGGAATGTACTTCTTGTTCCTGGAAAAGTGGCAGTAGGAGAAGGGACAAACAGCTCTCTGCTCTGTCCCCTGCAGAAATGAGGAATACAAGTAAATTTATGCACCAGTAAAAGTGGGGAAGAAAAGTTTCCTGCCTTATACATCATTCTTTGACCACACTTAGAGATGACATCCTCAAGATCTTCCCTGTGCAACAGCCCCCACCCCATTCCTGGGTCCTGGCTACGCACAACCTTCATGTCATTGAAACTACTTGGTGCCAAGTTCACACAAGGGGGAAAAGAGAAATCAAACAGGATATCCCTGGGGCTTCCAGGGAAGATGGGTGTGTCAGTGACTTCATGCAGTCAGGAGAGCCCAACAGCTACACAGTAAGATGCCTATGTGACCTGACACAATTAAAGACTACTGCACTAGCATTCCCAGGAAGACTAGCAAGACTCAAGGGTAACTTTCCAGGGAAAAATAAAATCAAGAATTTTGAAAGAGGACCAATGTATCCACAAAGTCTGATGTACTGCTCCAGTTTCTGGGGCACCCCAAGACAGAGGCTGCTTCTACAGCCTTAGCTGACCAGCCTCTGATACACTGTTCTCTGAAATTCTCCTGTTTCATTGAGTGCCTTTATATTTTTGACCTTTACTACCATACTGTGGCAGTGGGGTCCACACATGACATGACATGAAAACCCACTTCCTTTAAACCTGCTGCCTGATAGCTTCACTAGATATATTTCAGCTCCCATCTTCAAAGAAACTGTGAACAATTGCCTTCTACTCATAATACTTCATACTCATCCCATTCCCAACTTTACACAACTTCGTTGTAATTTTTACTGAGTTGGTGCTGCTTAATTTTTCCTGGTGCAGAAAGCATTTCATTGTACATCTGTTTTCCTTTTACCTTTAGCTTTCCTAGCTCTGCTACTTTTTCTTTCCTGAGAAGGAAAACTAACTATTGCACACAAAAAAGGACAAAAAAAAGAAAAAAGTCTGGGACACACTGATTTACAAAGACATAACAATGATTCATTCTGTTCCTTTCCTAACCTTTTCCTTTCAATTGTTACTGAATATCCAAAGTGATGCTGTCCAGCTGTCGGGAAGCTTTATGATATGTTTTCTGAGCAAGGATTTGGAGCCCATTAATGCCAATGGATCATTAGGGACACTTTCCTTCTGATAAGTTTATTTATCAGAATAAAGCCTAAAAAGCCTCATTTATTTTGACACAGATAACACTGGATAAAATCCCTGATCCTCCTACAGATCTTGTGAGGTTTGTTTGAGATTGGTGTTTGTGTGGTTTGGTTGAGGTTTTGGGTTTTCTGGGTTTTTTTTCAGCATATGGAGCATTAACTATTAAAATACCAACTTTCTGATCTGAAATCCATCTTCATACAGGCATTTTGTATGTGTTAAATAGCATGGGGTAATGCTAGATTTAACAATCTACTGCACTTGGCCTAAAGCACTTCATATTTGCTTTATGCATTGATGCCATTTCAGATTTGACTATGAGGGAAGCAGTAATGTTAAAACTTTCATCACTGAGCAAATGAAGGCTGTTTGCTTATCTGCACCCTCTCAAATATTCTCTTCAGCCACGTACTCCTGAAGCTCATATGAAGGGAAGTTTCTCTCTCAGCAGTCCATTATGATTTCAAAGAGTACAATCATCAACTTTCTGCACTTTGGACTAGCAGATTTTTAAGGAAGGGGTCATCTGCACACCAAAGAGCACTGTAACTCATTTGGTTTGTTCCCAGAGCTCAGACACTCGGACTGCTTTGAAATAACTGTGAGCTGGAAAAACAGCCAGAATATTTAACATGCAAATGAGTCTAACAAGAATCCTATTTTGTTTTTATAATTCCTGCGTTCAGTACAGCTAGAACAAGCAGCTTTCTCAAAACAGGGTGAGTGTTTTATCTTTTCTTAGTTGGCTTGTTATGAGCAGTTACAGGCTTAATTTTCACTAGAATTTATACTTTTTTCCCCATAACCATTTTCATATCTTATAAAATTAATGAGGTAAAAAGAGCATTTCCTGAACAAGAATAATGAAAAGCTCCTTCTTAACTATATAAAGCTTCTTTATTCCACAAGTTTCTATATATCCATATTTGTGTACAAACTAGAAAATTTGAGTGTGGGAGTTTCCATTTAGGATTGGGTTTGTATTTTGGCTTTTGTTTTGTTTTTTTTTAAATGAAAGAAAAAATTAAATTGTTTTCTACTATGATGTACAGTCTCTTAATATTCTAATTATGCAAAAACTCAAAATGTTCTCATAGTGAACAAAACACAGAGGCCTCATTACAGCATGCATTTCTTTAAATGTCAAAATTGCAATCAAAGTAAGAAAATGCATTCTTTGCACATTGTAGATAGAAATATGAAAACAGAAATGGGTTTTTTCCATTGCAACAGTGAATCAGCAACAGATGTGCAAAGGCCTGATTCTTCTATTCTTCTGAGATGTTTTGTTCCATTAATTTACTATAATGCAGGTGTTATTAAAATAACAAGTGGGCAACAAAATATCAGAGCAATAATTTTATGCAAAAATTCACAGATACAATAGTGAGAGCCATAATTAAAAAAAAAAAAAAAACACAATCAAAACCTTCATAACTTCAGCTGAAACCTTAAAATAATTTCTTTGTTTGAGAGATCTTGGAATCAAAGGGCCACATGTGCACAGAGCACAAGCATGTATATGCTGGTGGGCACTTGCTCTGTTCACACATCAACTTGATAGATGACAGCCAGATCCAGCCCAGAAGGGGTACAGACACATAAGCATGGATTTGGGTTTTGGCATTAAGTGATCAGCTTGGCCTCAATATGAAATCTATGCAGTAATGCTCCATACTGAACCTTTCTGCTACACCCACAGAAAGTCCTTCAAAATGTTCTAATGAAAACTTCCTATACATTTCATAAGTTTATTTTCTTAGTTTAATATAATCTCACAGTATCTCTCTCTGAAGATAAAAATTATACCCTATTTAAGGAATGAAGAATTCAGTTTTGCATATTATGTCAAGGACAACCCTGCCTCCTCCATCCAAACCAGAAACACAACCAATTGTTCCAGGTTCCATCACATGCTGAAGTTTCCAGCTTTCAGTGCTAACATCTAAAACTTACTATCCTAAGGAAGTCCTTACTATCTGCAGTTCATGTGTAATTTTTAATCTGCACATGTGGTTATCCATTTAAAATTTGAAAATACCAAAAGCATTTGCACTTGGAATTGACTCCCCCTCTCCACCTGCAATTTTCTTTTGATGACTATTAATTTAAAAGGAGAAATAAGAGAAACATCTGTAGCCCGTTCTCCCCATCTTCAGATGGCACACAGGCTGAGTGACATAGGAAAAATAATCAAGGAGTCCTGTTATAGACTGACTTCTGTAGGTGCTCGTAAAGAGAAACAGCACAACTCATGTTGTGAAAAGCTAGGGAATTCTTTTTCTTCACCAAAATGGCCCAGAGCTTTCTTTGGCGGAGCTTTGCTGCTTTGACCACGTGGTGATTTTCCCCAGCTGGGGCTCCAGATTGGTGCATGGACTCCAGGCTAGGTATCTCTGTGTTCCAAAGAGGCTTCCATCATTCCACATGCTGCCTCCCAGCACTTCATGACTCACGGGATAGCAAGCTGCAGAACACTTTTCCAACCCTTCTCCCAGCGACTCTACAGT